GATTTTTCTGCGATAAAAGTACCCGAGTGTCTGCAGTGTGGGGGTATTTTGAAGCCTGATGTTGTGTTTTTCGGTGACTCAGTACCTAAGGCCAGAGTTGCAGATGCGTTTGCTCAGCTTGAGCAGGCGGATAGCGTGCTGGTGGTTGGCAGTTCGCTGATGGTGTACTCAAGCTTTCGATTTGTACGCCGGGCTGCGGAGTTGGGTCTACCCATCGCCGCGTTGAATCGAGGTAAGACACGCGCAGATGAGCTGCTGACACTGAAGATAGACGCCGACTGTGGCGAGACGCTGCGAGCATTGTCCGATCTGTAACCTGTACAATCAAAGCAGGGGTCATTGATGTGAAAAGGAAAATATCATGAAGCGTATACTGGGGGTTCTTGTTTTACTCCTCTCTCCGGCCTTTGTCTGGGCAGATGCCGAGACCACAGACTGTGTTTATGCCCGCGACGTGAAGCAGTTTGAGATCCTCAACGACAGCACACTGCTGCTCATCGGTCGGCTCGATCGTCGATGGGTAAATCGGCTCAATACACGATGTGCGGGATTACGAAAAAATATGGTGCTCAACGTATCTCGATTCGGCAGCCAGATCTGCGCCAACGATAGAATTACGGCGACGAGTCGCGGTGCCGTTCGCGGCGAAGGGCCGGTGGCCAACTGTCTGCTGGGTAAGTTTGAACCGGTCACTCCTGAGCAGGTGGCCACGCTGCGACAATCTCTGGCGGAGGCTGATCAGTCATGACACGCGTATATCGTTATCTTTTTATCTTTGTCATATTGTCCGGATGCAGTAGCGCCGGGGTTGAGGAGCAGCAGCGAGCCGCAGCAGAAAAAGCGCTGTCGGTGGAAGAAATTCTCAACCGTGATCCAACCCAGAGTGATTATGTGAAGTCGCCGCGTTGTATTAACACCACTCGCATCCGGGATATGGAAGTGATCGACGAGCAACACATCGTGTTACGCGTCGCGCGTGCTGAATATTATCTTATCCGTTTTGATCGTCGCTGCCCGGGCTTGCGTCGAGGCCGGCCGGTGATTTACGAGCCAGGTAGTGGCAGCCAGCTGTGTGTTCTGGATGGTATTCGCGCTACTTACGATACTGGTCTAGGCGGCATCTCCCCAGGCATGCGCTGCAGCATTCCAGGTTTTGCAAGCGTGACTAAAGAGCAGGTCTCGCTGCTCAAAGACACGCTCCAGGTCAATCGTCGAACGTCCGAGACAACCGCACCTGCACCGGAAGCTGACGATGAATCATCTGCCGGTGCCGGGTCTGACGAAGAGACTTAGCGATCGAGAACCAGCTCTGCGAGGGTCTGCAGTTGAGCTGAACTGCGCGCGGACACGGTCAGCGAGGTTACTGGCGTCTCGTCCCATGCCTGCAGGCGATCTTTGATCTTATCGATGGGTCCCACCAGAGAAATCTCGTCTGCCAGGGCGTCAGGAATAGCTTGAGCGGCCTCGTCCTTTTTCCCTGCCATAAACAGATCCTGAACTTTCTGTGCTTCGGCTTCAAAACCCATGCGGCTGACAAGTTCTTTGTGGAAGTTGCGGTCTTTGGCACCCATGCCGCCGACATAAAGTGCCAGCATGTGTTTCACCGGCTGCAGACCGGCTTCAACATCATCAGTAATGTTGACCACTACACCCTGGGTGATCTCGAAGTCTGCTTTGGCATTGGACAGCGAAGGTGCATAGACCTCCTGGCGGAACGGAGAGTAGTAAAGGGGCAGCCAGCCATCTGCAATCTCTGCGGCCAACGCCACATTTTTTGGGCCTTCGGCACCCATGAAAATAGGAATTTCTTTACGTAGAGGATGCAGGATCGACTTCAAAGGTTTGCCTAGCCCCCAGGACCCTTCCCCTTGATAAGGCAGAGGGTAATGTTCGCCTTGGTTGGCGACAGGTTCCTCGCGCGCGATGACCTGACGCATGATGTCGATATATTCTCTGGTTCGCGCCAGGGGTTTGGCAAACGGACCGCCGTACCAGCCCTCGACAACCTGTGGTCCGGATACCCCCAGACCAATTATCATACGGCCGTTGGAGAGGTGATCCATGGTCATGGCAGCCATTGCGGTTGCTGTCGGGGTGCGCGCCGACAGCTGTATCACCCCGGTGCCCAGACGAATAGTGCTGGTATTGGCGCCGATCCAGGCGAGCGGGCTCAATGCATCAGAACCATAAGCTTCGGCAGTCCATACCGAATCGTATCCCAGGCGTTCAGCCTCCTGTGCCAGTTGTATGTGGTTGGTGGGCGGCTGTGAGCCCCAGTAGCCGAGTGCCAGTCCCAGTTTCATATCCGGCATGTGTTTCCCCCGAAAAGTGTCAGTGTGTTGTTAAGTTCTAGGGTATGACCATTCGACAAGTCGCGGCAAGCAGGTATTGATGATGTATCATGCGATCTTCACTTTTGAAGCCGAAGCACAATGGAAGATCAATGGTTGGCGTGGGCCAAACGATTGCAGGCGCTGGCGTCAACTGGGTTGCACTTCGATGTATCTGAGCATGACAACGAGCGCTATCGTGAAGTAGCTGAGATTGCTCAGCACATGTTGGCAGCGTTGGGCCGGGTGCCGTTGCAAGAGATCCTGCATCTGCATGCTGACTTCGCACAGAGTTACGCGACACCTTTGATAGATGTGCGCGGTGCAGTTTTCCGCGGCGGCGAGATTCTCCTGGTGCAGGAAAAAACCGATCAGCGCTGGACTTTGCCCGGCGGATACGCAGATGTAGGGCTATCTGCAGCTCAGAATATTGAAAAAGAAATTGCTGAAGAAGCGAACCTTGCCGTGAAAGCGCGGGCCCTTTACGCCGTGAAGCACAAAGCCAAGCACGCTTACAGACCGGATGTGCGCGATTTCTATAAATTCTTTTTCCTCTGTGAGCAGATTGACGATACTTTGCCCCAGGCAGGGTACGAGTGTCTCAGTGCTGACTATTTTGATCCTCGGCAACTGCCAGAGTTATCCACAGGGCGGGTGATTGCAGCGGATATAGAAGCAGCGTATGCCTTCCGCGCAGACCCTTCGCGTTTTACAGCGTTTGACTGATAGGGAGCGAAGTACATTGAGTCGACTGTGGATCTTGCGTCTGGTGCCTGATGTCAGATTTGGCCGCTGGTTTTCGTTTATCGCGCTGATTCTCCTGATGACGGCTTTTGTGGAATCGGCAGGCCTGTTAACTGGCGAATATCCGTACATGAGTTGGCCGATTGCCCTGTTTTTTGTTTGCATTGTGGCTTACATCGTCCCGGTTTTTCACTTTGTCACCGAGCGTAGTCAGGCGGCACTCAGGGAGTTACGTCAGAATGGTTTGATATCAACCGAAGAAGAAGAGAGGTTGAGGGTTCGTGTGAGCCACCGTTCCTGGCGCTGGGCGATCCTTAACCTCGTGGCAGCCTCAGCGTTGTGGTTTTCTCAAAGTTGGTTATTGACCGGTGAGCTGGTTGTTATGGTGAACAGCCTCTTCCGCGATTACCCGGGTTTTGTCGCGACGCTGTCGCCCTGGCTCGTTTGGATTACAGTAACCTGTACGGTACACGCGTTGGTCGATAACGCGCGTATGTTCAGGCAGCTGGCGCGAAAGGTGGATGTCGATATTCTGAATATCTCTTCGCTTATCCCGTTTGGGCGTATGGCAGTCAGCTCAACACTACTGGTCATCGGCGCGCAGTCGTTTTTTTCGATCATGTGGTTGGGTGGTGACACCAGCGTCTGGACCACCATTCCAGGATTAGTGCCCACCACCGCGGCGTTGGTTTACTTGTTTGTTGCGCCGGTATGGCCTCTACATAAGCGTTTGAAGCATGCGAAGCTGACACAGCTCGCCGTGGTTCAGCAACAGATCAATCAGATATCGTCTGCGCCAGTGCGGGATATGTCTGCTTTGGCGACCTTGCTGACCTTTCGTCGTGAAGTGGCCTCGGTAGCCGAATGGCCACTGGATATCAGCGTGCTGGCTAGATTCAGCCTGTATCTGGTGATTGTGCCGCTCACCTGGATCGGCGCGGCGTTGATAGAAAACGTTGTCGACTTTTTTATTGCGTAAATTTTGCAAATCAAAGTACTTTGCCGGTGGCAAGGTGGACGCAACACAGGCAAAATCTGCGTCACGTTTTGCACAGGGGAAAATTCGGTCTGATGAGTGGCTACAGAACCAGAGAAGTTGCTGAACTCATAGGTCTGAATACTGATCAGGTGCGTCACTATGTGCGCCGCTCCCTGGTGCAACCCGCCCGCGGTCAGCGTGGCGAATATAGATTTTCTTTTCAGGATGTGGTGTTGATGCGAACCGCCAAAGGTTTGATGAGCGCCTCAGTGACTACGCGCAAAGCTTATCGCGCGCTGGTTAAACTGAAAAAGGAAATGGAGCAGGAAAAATCTCTCAGTGCCGTGCGTATTTATGCGGATGGCACCACTGTTATGGCGCGGGATGATCAGCATGTCTGGGAAGTTGAGACCGGCCAGATCAATCTTGATTTCAGCCGCGGCGAAATAGCAGGCACCGTTGCAGACATTGCAGAGCAACACGTGCAGGCAGCGATAGCCGCGGAGGATCTGGATACAGATGAGTGGTACAACCTGGGTCTCGACCTTGAAGAAGTTGACCCGGATAAAGCGCCGGACGCGTATAAGCAGTCGATTCGTCTCGACCCTAAAAATGCTGATGCGCACGTTAATTTAGGCCGGTTGTATCAACTTCGTGGGGACCTTAAACATGCCAAGCGCCACTACGAACTGGCTTTAACAGCACGCCCCGGCCATCAGCTGGCGTTTTACAATCTCGGTACCGTATTTGATGAGCTGGATGAAACCAGCAAAGCAGCCGACTTCTATCAGCAGGCGCCGTCAATCCCCGATGCACATTACAACCTGGCGCGCATTCGCGAGTTGCAGGGTGATGAGGTCAGCGCATTGCGACACATGCGTGCTTATCGCGATCTTGTCGACGCGCAGAGCGACTGAGCGCCGCAAACTGCGCTACCGCCGCGTCGATTAACCGTCGTAGGTATAGGCTCTCTCCTGCAGCCGCTCAAAACCCATATCACCGCGACCGCAGCTGTCTACATAATCCATTTTGAAAGCATAATAACGCGTGCTGTTCTCACGCCGCAGTGCAACGGTCAGGAAGTCTTCAGAGCCTAAGCTTTTTAAGGTGGCGCCGTAATCGCAAACGGTCCGTGCAATCAATGCGTCGATGTCCGCACTTTGCGAAGCAGGCGAAGCAGGCGTTTCCGGCGTGTCTATGCGATCGCGGTAGTCGCGCAGAGACTTGTATTGAATATCGATGTCCTTGGCGAGGGCGTCGTACTGCGTGTCAACAGCAATCAATTCACGTTCCAGGTTTTCAATTTGCCGCTGCACCTTCTGCTGCTCGTCGTTAGAGTCTGCGCGCACCAGTTCCCGCCGCTGGGTGCGTAGCTGAGCGCGGATATCACGCTGTTCCAGGCGCAGGTCGCGCTGCTCAGCGCGTAGCTCGCGCAGAGTTTCCAATGACTCTGGTTCATAGGGTGATAAATCGATCTGCAGGTCAGACAGAATGTTTTCCACCATCGAAGGTATCTCATCAAGGTTGATCTGGCCGTTGATGGCAATGGCGGTGTCGCCATTGTTGATGGTCAGCCAGGGCGCATTCAGCCGCACGGAAACCAGCACCCCCTGTTTGGCCAGATATTCGGCGGTGACACTGGTGACACGAATTCCGCTCTTCAGCTCATTACGAAGCGCGGATTTCATCACGTCAGCAACAATTTTGGCCTCCCGCGTGATGTCAGTAAGATTATCAACCTCGCGTGCGGTGGCGAGGCTGGCCAGGGATAATGTTAAGCAGGTAAGTAGCCAGCGTGCGATCTTCATGGCGTATGCACTCCTTCTTCTGCAGCATCACTGCCGGTGCCCGGCGTGGCTGCAGGATTGCGATCAGCGGTTGTGACCAGGTCTTTAACCTGTTGATACAGCTCATCCAGTTCCTGCTGCCCCTGCAACTGGTTGGTGATCACAAAACGCAGGGAATCTTCTGTTTCGATAGTGCGGCGATCCATTTCGGCCTTCAGGTATTGCAGTAACACCTGCAGTTCTTCCTGACGCTGCTCGCGGCTGCCTTCCATGACTCTTTCGACCATGGCCGCCTGTGTCGCTTGAGGCAGCTCAGGCAATTCCTGATAACTGCTCAGGGGCTGGCTGGAAGCCGGCAATACGCCGCTGTTCTCGGGCATCTGCACAAATATCATGGTGGCGACTGCCAGCGCAGCGGTGCTGGCTGCGGTAGGGAACCACAAACGGAAATTGTCCAGCCAGTTATGGTTGCTGGTCACCGGGGCTGGCTGCCAGGCCGGTACGGTTTCGTCATGCCAGTTTTCTGCCATGTTAGACAGCATGTTGATGGCCTCGAAGTCAGACTGGCAATCAGCGCAGCTTTCCAGGTGAGTCTCAACTTCAACTGACAGCGAATCGTTTAACGACTTCTGGGCGTAATCAATTAAAAGCGGATTTGCGTGTTCACAGAGCATCTCGCAGTTCCTCGTGTTGCTTCAGTTTTCGCAGGGCACTGTACAGTCGTGTTTTGGCTGTATTGGCGGATATGCCAAGCTGGCCTGCGATATCTTCAAAGGTGAAGTGTTGAAAAAATTTGAGTTCTACAACCTGACGCTGTTCATCAGGCAGGGTGCCCAGCGCAGCGCTTATTTTCTGGTTTGCGTGGGTGGTAAAGGTTTGTTCCTCCGGGCCTGCTTCAGCGTTCAGAAATCCTCTTTCTTCATCAAATTCGTCATGGAATTTGCGTCGCCGCAGATAGTCTGTACAGCGAAAGCTGGCGATGCGGAACAACCAGGCAGGGAAGGGTGCGTCACCGCGGAAACTGCCGAGGTTGCGATGTACACCGACAAACACTTCCTGCATCAGGTCAAAAGCGTCATCAGGGTGGCTCACCATTCTTAAAGCGTAGTTGTACACGCGTTTTTCATACCTCTTGATTAATTTATTCCACGCGCTGTTGGACCCCGCCACAGCGCGTGTTATCAACACTTCATCAGTCACCGGACCTAGCATTTAATTATTCTTGTGCCTGCCTTGAGGAGAATGTCGCGACATACCGGGAAATAGTTTGCCGCAAGGTGCGAAAATCAGTCTTCCAGTATCTTCAGGGGGATGAGATTAGCATCAGGTCTGCGTTTGCCCCAGGCGATGAGGCTGGCGAAAAAAGCCGTGGCGGCGAGGCTGACGCCGGCCAGCCACAGCGTGGCGCTGGTAGGGTCGTCTGAGAAAGTGCCGATCTGATACACAATCACCGCAGCACCGTAAGCCACCACAAATGACCAGGCGACAGAAAACGTGGCCCAGAAAGACCCCAACTCTTTGTAGATCACGCCAATGGTCGCAACACAGGGCATGTAAAGAAGGATGAACAGCAGGTAAGCAAACGCACCGAGCTGCCCGTTAAACAGACTCTGCATGGCGCTGATGGTGTTGATCTGCACTTCCTGGGCCTCAGCCTGTAATGCGGTATCTTCCAGGTTGCCTAGGTCCAGGCCCAGTGGGTCTGTCAGCTGGCCTGCAATTTCACTGAGGTTGGCCGGTACGCTCGCCACAGCTTGACTGAGCATGTCGGTCAAGCTGTTGTCTTCGTGCTGGCTTGTCGGCGCATACAAAGCATCCAACGTGCCGACCACAACTTCTTTAGCAAAAATACCGGTGAAAATGCCAACAGTGGCAGGCCAGTTATCTGCTTCGATACCCATGGGTTTAAACACCGGGGTAATGGTTTTGCCGATCGCTGAGAGCACTGAGCTCTCCGAATCTTCGTTGCCAACGCTGCCGTCGGTACCGATGGAGCTGAGCACGTTGAGGGCAATGACCACCAGCACAATAGCTTTACCTGCGCGTACCACAAACCCTTTTAAACGTTGCCAGGTCTGCAGCAGAATGTTGCGCAGCACAGGTAAATGGTAGGCGGGCAGTTCCAGGATAAACTCGCTGCGGCGTTCCGGTAAAAGGTGTTTGCGGACTACCATTGCGCTCAATATCGCCACAACGATACCGATCAGGTACAGGGCAAATACGATGTTCTGGCCATTGCTGGGGAAAAACGCTGCGGCAAACAGGGCGTATACCGTCAAGCGGGCGCCACAGCTCATGTAAGGGGCCATCAATGTTGTCAGAATACGATCGGGTTGAGAATCCAATGACCGGGTTGCCATGACCGCGGGGACATTGCAGCCAAACCCAACGATCAGCGGTACAAATGATTTGCCAGGCAACCCCAGACTGCGAAGCAGGCGGTCGACAATAAAGGCGACCCGCGCCATGTAGCCGGAATCCTCTAAAAACGCGAGCACCAGAAACAGCGCGCCGATAACCGGAATAAAGGTGCCCACCAGCTGCACGCCGCCGCCGACGCCGTCGGCCAGAAAGACGATACCCCAGGCGGGTAGCCCCAGCCACTCGAACAGCTGTCGCGGCCCCTCTACAAACAAAACGCTGCCCACAAGATCGAAAAAGTCGATAAATGCTGAACCGATGTTGATGGAGATCAGGAACATCAGATACATCACGCCAAGGAAAACAGGGAAGGCCGCAAACCGGTTCAGGACCACCTGATCAATGGCTTGCGTCCAGCCGCTTTGTGTTGCCTTGTCAAAGTGAGTACAGCTTTCGATAAGCTTGTCGATCTCTGCATAGCGGTTGACGTCGTCGCCGCTGGCGAAGTCGGCAACAGGAGCAGCGTGTCCGATGGCGTTGTTGAGTTCGTCTAAGCCTTCCCGGCGGGTTGCGATGAGTGGCACCACGGGACAGCCAAGGGCTTGAGCGAGAACATCGAAGTCGATTTGTGTGCCTTGTGAGCGCGCAACGTCCAACATATTGATAACCACAACCGTGGGTATGTTGAGATCGTGAAGCTCGCTGGTGAGATACAGGCTTCGGCTTAAACTGGAGCCGTCGGTAATATTGATGGCCATATCAGCATCGCCGCTGGCCAGATAATCCCGCGCAATTTTTTCATCAAGCCCGCCGGCAATGGGATCGAGGCTGTAGGTGCCGGGTAAGTCGATAAGCTCCAGGTCACCGCTTGCGGTGGCGTAGGTGCCACTTTTCCGTTCGACGGTGACACCTGGCCAGTTGCCAACACGCTGGTGCGCGCCGGTCAAGGCGTTAAAAAGCGTGGTTTTACCACTATTGGGATTGCCAATCAGGGCTATTCTGGTCATGTCTCAACCACTTCGAATTGCAGCGTTCTGGCTTCACTGGGTCTTATCGCCAGGGAATAGCCGCGTAGTCGCAGTTCGATGGGATCACCAAGTGGCGCACTGCGCAGGATGGTGACCAATGTGCCAGGTACCATGCCCAGGCGCTGCAGCTGCGCGCTGTAGTTGGACTTTTCGGTAAAGCCCGTGATACGAATTTGCGTGCCTGTGTTGAGTTCGGCCAGGGGTGACGTCATGGTGGATGAAGGTCTGATACAACAACGGAACTCTGACAGCTCCGGTTATTTTGTGCAAATGATTCTTATTTACATTGAGGCGTGCATAAATTGAGGCGCAGAGGTTAAATAGGCGTGGACCTTAAGTGTGCGATCGAACCAGGAGACGGTCGAATGTTGGCGTTAACCGTGGTGACAAAAAACCATGACCTCAAGCGGCTGGTTGCAGAGATCAATGAGGCTCTGTGGGATGCGGCTAACGAGATGTCTATGTATGACGCTGAGTCTTTAGCAGCTTATCTTGAACATCAGGATACGCTCTTTGTAGCCTGCCACGAGGTGGTTGGGTCGCGACATATATTTGTTGGCATGGCATCGTGTCGCTTTGAAATCAAACCTTATGGTAAAGAACGCTGGCTCTATGTTGATGAAGTTGACGTCTGTGCTGACCATCGTCAGAAAGGTGTGGGCAAAGCCATCATGCTGAAGCTGATCGAGTTGGCGGAGGAAGCGGACTGCGAGGAAGTCTGGCTGGGTACCGAAGCGGATAATGATGCCGCAAATGCGCTGTATCTCTCGCTTGATCCGGATGATGTGGGGCAGGTTGTGGGCTACACCTACGAAATGAAGGAGTAAGTGGCGGTGTCTGGTTTACCGCACATACTGTGCGCCTGAGCAAACTATGAAGCATGTGAAACATACGTTTTTTAGCTCTCTGGTGGGGCTACTTCTACTGGCGGTAATGCCCGTGGCTGGCTACGCGGATAATTACAAGCGTGTGATAGAGGCGTGCACCAACCTGGTGTTGGACTATGCCTACTTTCGTGACCGGCCAGATGCAGAAGGCGTTGCAAGTCTTTTCGCCGAAGATGCGCAGCTGACGGTCCTCGGGCAAACCTTTGTCGGGCGCGCAGCCATTGCTGAGCGCATTCGTGATGCCGCGGGTGGTCCGATTTTTCGACATATGATGAGCACCATACGTATTTTTCCTGATAATGAATCTCACGCACGGGGCGTGAGTTACGTTGCTGTATACACGGCGTCTGCGGGACAACTCCCCAGGCCTTTGCAACAACCTGCAGCGGTGGGTGAATACCATGATCGTTTTGTGTTGACTGAATCAGGCTGGAGAATCGCCCAGCGGGAATTTGTGGCGGTCTTTGTCGCCGAGGCTCCCAGGGATTGATAGGGGGTGTAAAACTTACTCCTTCAGTCGCCCGTACACAGGCTGACCAGGAAAGACACCCTCCACAAGTTCTGCATCACGCAACACAAACACACCATTAACTAACACATGTTTTATGCCGTCAGAAAGTTGCATTGAATCTGTGTAGGTTGCTTTGTCAATAATCAGGTTAGGATCAAACACCGTCAGATCCGCATCAGCACCCACCTGAACCCTGCCTTTTCTTTTCATCTCTGGCGCAATGGCTTCGAGACGACGTGCAGGGAGCAATGTCATCTTTTCAAGCGCTAACATCAGATCAAGTGCCTCGCTTTCTCTGACATAGTGCCCCAGCGTTTTTGCATACGTACCCGCTCCGCGCGGGTGAGATGCACCGTTGGCAAATGAAATACCGTCTGATGCGATGATGACATCCGGCTGCCTGATCAGCCAGGCATTGGCCTCCTCGGACCTGCCGTGGATGATGACCGCGCCGCCTGTCTTGCGGTAGGCATCGAAAGATTCGCGAGTCAGTCGTTCGCCCGTTTTTGCCCATTGCAGAAGGCTGTAGTCCGCCTGCCAATCGTCGAACAGAGCACTCTCGATGAGGGTTGACCCCGCCGTATATGGATAAGCTTCAGTAGTGATATCCAAGCCGGCACGTCTTGCGCCTCTGATCATTTCCAGCGCGGTCATGGCGGACTTATCGGTGCTGGAATTTAAATGGACAATATGCAGAGAAGCCCGGGTAGCAACCGCATTAGCGATGACTTCCTGGACAGGCGCAAGTCGATCTCCGCCCATGCGGCTTGCTGCTCTAACGTGCACAAAAACAGGCGCTTCTAGTGTAGCTGCGGTGTTGAAGGCTTGAAAAATCTCTTCGTGCCCGGCCCCCGGTGTATAGGTGATACCGAACCCAAAACCAAGGGCACCCTGATGCATTCCGCCACGCATGAGAGCAAGGGTATTATCAACTTCTTTGGGCGACAGTTCACGACGGGCTGATTCGGTAGCAAAAGACTCCTGCAGGAAACCCGACCAGCTACCTCCAATATCTTTCTCACCTTCGACCGCAGCATGACGAGCCGCTACGTGACTCACCGTAGCGCCATAGTTCAGCAGGGCTTTATCTTTACGTTGCTCGTAGTAGCGTTCAACCGGCCAGGCGCCAATTTCTAATTCCAGAGCCGTGGTCACACCGTCGCCCGCCTGAAAACGGTTGCTGGGCAAGTCCTGGCCATGGGCATGCAGGTCAATGAAACCGGGCGCTACCACCAGTCCGGCAGCATCTATGCTCAAAGCCGCGCTTGGAGGGTCCTCGCTGATGCTGTGGATTCGACCCTCTCTCACCAGGATATGTCGTATCGCATCCAGGCCTGTTTCCGGGTCCATCACACGCCCGTTTAAAATAGCAATGTCCTGTGCGCTGGCTGTAAGCATTGCTGTTGTGAGCAACGTGCCTGCAACGAGTCTGAATAAAACGTTTGTCTGAAGCATCTGGCTCTCCCCTCCGATTTCCGTATTCTACTCGGGAAACGAGACTCAGGCTCGCATCGTTTAAGTAAGCAGACCTATCTGTATCGCTAACTCAATTCAAACAATCCAGTGTTGCACTGCTCGTTCCGCCACCAGGCGTTCGATATCACGTGGTACAGGTTGTACTCCGTTCGATAAAGACTTTCCGTCGCGTGCAAGAAAGTGAAGACTCATTGATTGCAGGGCCAGGCCCAAGTCCATTATCTCAATTGGGTTTCCATCTCCAGCGGAGAGATTGACAAGGTTGCCATGTGAAACTAGAAATATTTTCCGGTCATCCGGTAGCACATACTCAGTGACATCACCCCGAACTTCTCTGGTTGATGCGGCCATGTCTTCAAGCGCTGGAATGTCGATTTCAGAGGCAAAGTGGCCGGCGTTGGCAATGATCACTCCAGAACGCATCGCATCGAAGTGCTCTCGTTGGAGAATGTTGTCGTAGCCTGTAACGGTGATAATCATTTGAGCGGCAGCCACAGAATCTTCAAGCGTTGAGGTGCAGAACCCTTCCAGATGCGCTTCAAGCAATGACAATGGTTCTTGCTCAACAACAGTTACATGAGCGCCCATACCCCGCAATCTCTGCGCCAAGCCCGCCCCGCAGTATCCGTAGCCGATCACCAACACATTCTTGCCATGCAACATCACATTGGTTGCTCGCATTAAACCATCTACTACCGAGCTTCCTACACCAAAGCGGTTCTCTACGATTCTTTTGGTCAAAGTGTCATTGATGCTGAGGGTCGGAAAGTCTTTGCACCTTATCGATTCTCTCAGGCGAGTTGTCCCTGTTGTTGTTTCCTCGGTTGCACCAATAAGCGACTCGCTGAGATGCCGATATTCATCTCGGGAATAAATCAGGTGATGCAGGTCCGCACCATTGTCGGCTATCAAATGCGGCTCTGATTGAAGGACATATTCACAATGAGTCAAATGGTCTTCGAAAGTCTCATCGCTGCGTGCGAATACGCGGACGCTTTCCATCTCAGCCAGTGCGGCTGCGGTATCATCCTGTGTCGAACCGGGACTACCTGTGATTGAGATCTCGGCGCCACCAGCCGCCAACGCTTCGATCCAGACACCGGTTTTAGCTTCAACATGCAGGCAAATACCAATTTTGAGGTTCTTAAATGGTTGGCTCTTGCGAAAATCTTCAGCCAGGCTTGCAACGATAGGCATATGTGTTCGAGCCCAGTCGATGCGTTTTGCACCCGCTTCGGCGAGGGCGGGGTCAACGACTACCGATTTCATGGTTCTTAGTGTTTCTGAGCATAAAAAATTCCGCGAATAACTGTCATGAACGGTTAGAAACCATAGCAGCCTTTCTAATCCGGAGCTAAAAGCACTGAAGATGCTTGTTTTTCATTCGAAAGAGTGGGGTTGTAGTGCTGCTCGACTTATCTTGCGCGATGTCAAAATGCCAAGGAAAATTTGGCGCCACCGCTTTCTCGATTGTTGAATGAAATGGTACCTTCGTTGGCGATCATGATCTGCCGACTCAAAGCAAGACCTACACCACTGCCATTTTTTCGAGTGGTAAAAAAGGGTACAAAAATCTTCACCGCGACATCTGCAGCAATACCCTGGCCATTATCTAAAACCTCGATGGTCACTTGCCCGCTTTGACTGAGAGTGCCTCGCAGCTCAACTTTGGGTTGGTCAACGTGCTCAACTGCATACAGGGCATTCTGTGCCAGATTGATCAGCACCTGTTCGATCATCTGTCGGTCCGCATACAATTCCAGACTCTGGGGTGTAACGCTGATCAGAATTTCAACATCCTGGTCCGAGCCTTGCGCAAGCACAATACGCCTCACATCGGTCAACAGATCGTCTACGGGGAATCTGCTTTTGTTCGGCTCTGGCAGGCGGGTCAGGCGGCGGTAGCTTGAAACAAAGTTCATCAGTCCATCTGCGCGTCTCGCCACCGTATTCACAGCATCTTTGACATCTGTTAACTCTGCAATCAATTCGTCATTGGCCACCTTATGACTCACATCATCTACCAGATCAACAGCGGTTCTGGCCAGCGACGACACGGGGGTGATGGAATTCATTATTTCATGGGTCAATACTCTCACTAGATCCTGCCAGGCTTGTAGCTGGGTCACATCCAATTCACTTTGGATATTCTGCAAACTCAGGAGCTGCAATGTTTGTGTTGGCATCGCAATTTCGCTGGTACCGATGCTGAAGGTCTGGTCATGCCCATCGAAGTTCAGAGTCAGCAACATCCGCGACCCAGGCTCCGCAAGCAGTATGCGTTCCGGAATGTCTTTGCCGAAGCGGTTCAGGTCTTCTACCTGGGTTAGATTAAATCGACCGAATAAACGACGTGCCGCATTGTTCCATAAGGTCAACTGGTTATCGCGGCCAACGGACAGCAACGGTACCGGCACATGTTCAAGCATCGCCTTCAATTGACGCACCTCGGTCTCGTTCTGGCTACGGTCTTCACGAAAGCGATCCAGAATGAAAGTAAAGGTGTCACCAAGCTCTGTAAAACCCGCACCTAGACCAACAAATTCGAAACGCTGACCAAAGTCAGCATAGCGCGCCGCGTCCAGAAACCGTGCAATCTCACGATTTGTTTTGGCAATAAATTTGTACAACTCCAAAGACAGCGCAACAGCACTAACCAGTACTAACAGCATTACTACGGGGTAATCAGGTGTCACGAGCAGAAAGCCTGCGACACTCAGAGTGATCAGAATGATGAACATGCGTAAGCCAATCGCCAGTCCGAATCGACTAAAGCCCATGCTTTTCCATCCTTCGATATAAAGCGGCGCGGGTCAAACCCAGGTCTTTTGCCGCATGTGAAATGTTATAACGGTTGCGGGTAAGCGCAGCCTGAACTGCTTTTCGTTCGAGCGCTTCCAGATTAAGGTCATTGTTTAATACGGAGGCGTCTGACGACAGGTTTTCCAGCCGATCACTTTTCACCCTGGTGCGCTCTATCTGGGGTAAGCTGAAATCTTCAGGCACAAACTCATCAGCCTCAGACAGAATTACCGCTCGCTCCAAAGCGTGTCGCAAAGCACGCACATTGCCAGGCCAGTCATACTCTGTCAGCGCAGCCAGTGCCGCGGACGAAAATCGCTTGCTTTGCCTGCCATATTTACGGGTATACAGGTCCGCGTAGTAAACAGCGATTGCCGATATGTCTTCACGACGTTCTCGCAGGGGCGGCATAATAATTTCAACTGTATTCAGGCGAAAGAGGAGGTCCTGACGAAAGCGCTGTTCATCGGTGAGTTGTTCACGCGGTACGTTCGTTGCGGCAATGATCCTGATATCGATATCTACCGGTTTACTAGCCCCCACCGGTACTACCTGCTTCTGCTCCAATACCGACAGCAGCTTGGCCTGCAAGTGCAAAGGCAAATTACCAATTTCGTCCAGAAACAAGGTGCCGCCACGGGCCGCTTGTAAGCGGCCGATCCGATCAGATTTAGCATCGGTAAAAGAGCCTTTAACATGTCCAAACAGCTCAGATTCAAACAAGGTTTCAGAAATAGCGCCCAAATCGACGGTCACAAACACGTGCTCACGTCTCGCTGATTGGTTGTGTAATGCGCGAGCGGCGAGCTCTTTACCCGTACCATTTTCACCAAGAATAAGGACATTGGCCTGAGTGGGCGCGGTACGCTCGATCAGATGTTGTACCTCCTGCATCGCGGTGGATTCGCCGAGCATCGGTTGCCGGGTGTTACTGGCCACTTCCATCAGGGCTGTATTAGTTTTTTTCAGAGCGCTCGCTTCTCGGCGCGAGCGGTGTAATTTGACGCTGGCGGACAAAGTGGCAACAAGCTTCTCGTTCTGCCAAGGCTTGGCGATAAAGTCGGTAGCACCAATTTTCATGGCTTCAACCGCCATATCCATATCTCCGTGCGCGGTAATTAACACCACCACCGCATCAGGATTAAGTAGCAGAATTTTCTGCAGCCACGCAAGACCTGCTGCGCCGCTGGACTCGCCAGGCCCAAAGTTCATATCGAGCAGGATGGCTGCATAATCTGTTGCCGCAATAAGCTCAGGGATAAGCTCTGGATCCGCACAAGTATCCACGCGCGCGTAGTGACGCTGTAGCAGGAGTTTGCCAGCGGTCAAAATATCTTCATCGTCATCAACTATGAGGAGCGTACTGTCATCTCTCACGTAAGCGGTGCCTCAGAATGCAGTGTTCAACATCGTACACCAGAGTGTCCGATATCGAACAGAATTTCATTCTCGTTTCACTGACAAGAAAATTAATCCTTATAAAACAATACGATACATATTGGCACGACCCTTGCTCTACTGAGTCTCAACAACACTTGGTAATTAAACGACCATGCGCGCAGTGGACACAGACAAAAACTTCTCCGGTGGCATAAACACCACACCGAATAAGTCCGGTGCAGCTATGGACCGCACCATAGAGAAAAAGAAACTCCCTTTAAAAGCTCTGACGGTTGTTGGCGTGCTGCTTCTTGTCGCTGTGCTAATCGGGTTGTACCTGTGGGACCAGGCCAATGCGCGTTCATTTGTTATTGAGAACTCTCGCGTGGTGGTATCGCCCGTAGTAAGAGGAACATTTGACGACTTCATCCCTATCCGCGGTCGAGTGACACCGCGTAAAACGGTTTATCTTGACGTTATCGAAGGGGGTCAGGTCGAACAGCGCCTGGTAGATGATGGCGCTATCGTTAAAGCTGGCGACCTGCTGGTAACACTCAACAACACCTCCCTGCAGCTTGACGTGACGCGCAACGAAGCCATGGTCACCGAGCAGTTGAACAATATGCGCACCATTGAGTTGCAGCTTGAACAAAATCGTTTGCAGCACAAACGAAATCTGGTGGAAATAAACTATCAGATTAAGCGCTTAATGCGCCAAATCGAAAGGTTGTCGAGTCTCGACAATGCAGGCCTTGCGATCAAGAGCCAGTTAGAAGATGCCGAAGATGAGTTAGCCTATTTCATAGAACGACGGGAGGTAACCCGCGAGAGCCAGAGTACAGATGCACGTATGCAGGAAACCCAACTTGAATTCCTGCAGAAATCCAGCGCTCAGATGGAAGGGAACTTATCCCTTTCACGCAAGAATCTGGACGCTCTGAATGTTCGCGCTCCGGTGGACGGGAAATTGTCGGGGCTGGACGTTGAGGTTGGCCAGAGTATCCAGCGTGGAGGTCGCCTTGGACAGATCGACGATCCGGAGAGTTTTAAACTACGTGTCGAAGTGGACGAGTTTTATCTTAACCGCGTGGACATAGGGCAACCCGCTCGATTCGAACATGGCGGCAAGCCCTTCACATTAACTGTCAGCAAGATTTATCCCCAGGTCATCAACGGCCAGTTTGAACTCGACCTGCTGTTTGACGATGAGGAGCCCGAGGACATACGCCGTGGCCAAACCCTGCAGGCAACGCTGACGCTGGGAGATTCGACGACGGCATTGATCATTCCGAACGGCGCTTTTTTCCAGGACACCGGTGGCAACTGGATGTTTGTTGTTGACCCAAGTGGCAATCAGGCCATTCGCCGCAGCGTCAGACTCGGACGACGTAATTCTAAACACATTGAAGTGCTCGAAGGTTTGGAGCCAGACGAATTGGTAATCACAAGCCCCTATTCAAGCTTTAAAGAAATGGATCGCCTGACCCTTACCGAAGACTAATCAACACACGCAATTGGAAACACACATGCTTAAATTACACGACCTTTCGAAACTGTATCGTACGGACGAAGTAGAAACGGTGGCGCTGAATTCGGTGAACGTTGAAATTACCGCAGGTGAGTTTGTCGCCGTAATGGGGCCGTCAGGTTGTGGTAAGTCTACGCTGCTAAACATTATCGGTATGCTGGACTCGCCTACCTCCGGTAATTACTGGTTTCGCGACGAAGACGTTGCAGGCTACTCCGAAGCCAAACTTGCCGACATACGCAAACATAACATCGGCTTCATATTTCAATCATTCAACCTCATTGATGAATTGTCGGTTGCAGAAAATATTGAACTCGCGCTGCTGTATCACAATATTCCGGGCAGCGAACGCCGCGACCGGGTCGCTCAGATTATGGATAAAGTGGGTATTGCGCATCGCGCCAGGCACATGCCCAGCCAGCTTTCTGGCGGCCAGCAGCAGCGTGTCGCAGTTGCACGGGCCATTGTCGGCAATCAAAGTTTGATTCTCGCTGATGAGCCCACTGGCAACCTGGACAGTGTGCATGGCCAGGAAGTCATGGAAATGTTGCAGGGGCTCAACGAAGAAGGCACCACAATTGTCATGGTGACTCATAGTTCAAGCCATGCAGATTACGCGCGGCGTAGCATTAACCTATTCGACGGCCATGTGGTCACAGAAAACCTGCGTGCGGCGGTGTAACCATGATTAAGAATTACTTTTTAATAGCCTGGCGCCAACTGCAGAAAAACAAGTTATACGCATCGATAAATGTGATCGGACTTGTGGTTGGACTTGTTGTCTATCTGTTCGGATCGCTGCTGGTCAGCTACGAGCGAAGCCATGATCTGTTTTTTGCCAATGCGGATCGAATCTACACTGCTGGCTCTCTGTTCGGGCCGACGGCCAATGTCGGCGTGGGTGAAACTGATGGTATTTATACGGCCTTTGCGCCGCTGATAGATGCCGAAATCGAAGAGGTAGAGGAAATTGCCCGCACCGTGGGTGTCGAGTTTCTACTGTCCAACGAAGACAACCATTTTTATCAATACATTCGTTTTGTCGACCCTGCTTTTCTGAAGATTTTCGATTTTGATTACATTGAAGGCAATGCCAGTGCGCTTGAAGATCCTTCTGGTGTCATGTTAACCAGAACTATTGCTGAGAAATATTTTGGCAATGAGTCGGCGTACGGCAAAGTGCTTACCCTGGATCACGGCGTCAGCCTGCGCGTGACTGCGGTTATCGAAGAGCTTCCCGTCAACTCCCATTTCGGCTCTTCCGTGATGAGTAATGGCAGCATCGAAGTTGTGGCCCCGTTGCAGGCCCTGAACAGGGCTAACGACTATGATCTGGCAGGAAATTTCAATAATCTCTCGACCGGTGATTTCACCTATATGCTGCTGGCGCCTGGCAAAGATCGCAGCTGGCTGCAGCAAAGTTTGGATGGTGTCTATGATCGGCACTATCCGGAAGATATGCGAGAGTTTGTGGTTGGGGTCAATGTAAGGCCATTGGTAGAAGCAAACACAATTTTATGGGACGCCGTCGGCTTACCAGTGCTGGACTCCATTCGCCTGCTCGGCTTCCTGGTCCTGGTTGTTGCTATTGTCAATTACACCAATCTGGCCACCGCGCAATCTCTGGGTCGCAGCCGGGAAATTGGCCTGCGTAAAACGATGGGTGCTGCCGTTAGCCAACTGGTCACGCAATTTTTAGTGGAAAGCTTGTGCGTTGCCACTATTGCTATGGTGATTGCCATTGCTGCACTTGAGATTATCGTGCCGGTGATGAACACCACACTGGATAAGGGGCTGCAGCTCGAATACTGGCAAATGGTGCCATGGCTGATCGCAACAACACTTGGGGTCGGCTTGATTGCTGGCGCCTATCCTGCCTATCTCATCACTCGCGCAGCGCCAATCGAGGCATTACGGGACGGCAGCAAACGTGGCGCCAAAGGCAGCCGTTTTCGCACCAGCATGCTGGTCCTGCAGTTTTCAATTTCCATTTTCATGATGGCAATGGTTCTGGTGATGTACCTGCAGAACAACAAGCTGGAATCTTCGAGTAACATCTATCCTAAGTCCCAAATTATTACATTGAACCGGCTGGATGTTGATTCTATCCAGTCCCGCTTGGAAACACTGCGCAACGAATTGCTGAATATCCCCGGCGTCGAGAACGTCGCCTATTCCAGTCAGCTGCCATATCAACAAAGCAATTCGTCTTTCAATGTGAGTGCTGTGGCCGGAGACGAAGACCAATCCATGCAGCTCACCCAGGTAATTGTGGATGAACGCTTTATGGACACTTACAACATCCCGCTGTTGGCTGGCCGGGCACTGTCCAAGACCTATAGTGCGGATACCATCGTGGAGGGTAGTGTGGTAGCCAACGTGATCATCAATGAGTTGGCGGCTAGACAATTGGGTTTTGGTGCGCCCCAGGAAGCAGTGGGTCAGGTGTTTTATGATTTTTCAGATTCTCGAGCTGAGCGCGCTTACACGGTTGTAGGTGTCTCGCCAGATCAGAACTTCCAGGGGTTCCATAACCAGATCAAACCTACGGTCTTCTTCATCATCCCCACTGTTTTTCGTTATGGCTCCATTCGAGTAGATGGCGTAGGTCTGGCGGATACTTTGCGGTCGGTTGAAGCGGTTTGGGAAAATCTGATACAAGACTATCCGATACAAGGCGAATATCTTGAAGACGAATTCCAGGAATCGTTCGAGATCTACACGAGTTTGTCTTCAGTGTTAGGCGGCTTCGCGTTTATTGCCATGTCACTCAGCATGATCGGCTTGTTTGGCCTTGCTGCATTTATGGCGGAGACACGAACTAAAGAAATTGGGGTACGTAAAGTTATGGGTGCGAGCACAGGACAAATTGCACGCCTGCTGGTGTGGCAATTTTCCAAACCCGTTATGTGGGCGCTCTTGTTAGCACTACCCGCAGCCTACTTCGCATCGGGCGAGTTCTTACGCTTCTTTGCCGACCGCATAGCATTTCCTGAGGTAATAGTTCTAGGCGCAGGCGTGGTGGCGGTGTTATTTGCATGGCTTATCGTTGGTATTCATGCTTTGCGGATTGCAAGGTCCAACCCCATTAAGGCGCTACGTTACGAATGATAAAGCGGGTTTAGTAGTATTCCGCGTTACGCGGCGTGTATAAACTAGGGCAGGCATTTTCTTCACTGCAGAGTTCAGAGGTCAATTAATGCTCTCTCAATCTGGTTCCCATACCCCTTCTTCCCAAATCGGTGTCTTGGCCATGGTTGTTGTCCTGCTTGGTGCATGCTCGCCCGGTCCAGAAGCCGTTGACCTCATCTTTGAGTCAGGTCGGGTGTACACGAGCAATGCACAAGCTCCCTGGGCTGAGGCGCTGGCCGTGCGCAACGGGAAAATAGTTGCAGTCGGGACTACAGCAGATGTTACCCAAAAATATTCCGGGCCGAAGATTAATCTTGGTGGGCGTATGCTCATGCCCAGCTTTCACGATGCGCACGTCCACCCGGTACTTGGCGGAGTTCAGATGATGCAGTGCAATCTGTCGACTTTTGCGACAGTCAGTGCTTTGCTGCAGGCGGTGGCTGCATGCGACGCAAATCTGGCTGACGATGAGTGGCTGGTTGGCGGTGGATGGAATTTGTCGTTGTTCGCCGAGGCCAACCCTTCCCGCAAACTGCTGGATGCGGTTAATCCAAACCGGCCAATGCTGCTGCGGGGCGCGGATGGACACTCATCCTGGACCAACACCAAGGCATTGACCCTTGCAGGTATCGAAGCTGAGACGCCGGACCCTGCCCACGGCATCATTGAACGCGAAGCAGATGGCACGCCTTCAGGTACGTTGCGGGAGTCAGCTCAGTCGCTGCTTGAGAATGTTCTTCCTGTCGTGGCAGCTGAAGATCGCTCGAAAGGGTTGTTGTTAGCAATCAAGCATGCTAACTCTCTGGGGATCACATCGATGATTGACGCTGCAGTGACCCAGACGGAAATTGCCGCTTATGAATCTCTAGACGAGCAGGGAAAACTCACCGCACGCCTGGTTCTATCTGCCGCGGTTGTTGGGCCTGCACCCATGCACAACCAGGATGATCTTATTGTTGCTGAAGATCGGATTACCGAAAAACGCATCCGTCGCCACGCGGCAAAAATATTTGTTGATGGTGTTCTCGAAGGCGAAACGGCAGCGCTGATCGAGCCGTATATCGATAGAAACGGTGCCAGAGGCAGTCTGCTATTACAGCCAGATGAACTGAACATCAAAGTTGCGGAACTCGATGCGAACAATGTGCAGATTCTGTTTCACGCGATTGGGGATCAAGCAGTCAGAGTGGCGCTGGATGCTATTGAATATGCCCGCACTGAGAACGGTGCGCGCGACAACCGCCATCACATTTCTCACTTGCAGCTCATCCACCCTGACGATCACGCACGCTTCGCTGAGCTGGATGTGGCCGCCAATTTCCAGGCTTTGTGGGCTTATCCCGAAGCCTATATTACCGAGATTAATCTTCCGGTAGTGGGTCCCGAACGGGTTCAACGAATGTATCCCATTGGCTCCGTTCATCGCGCGGGTGGTCTGATTGTTGGTGGCAGCGACTGGTCCGTCTCTTCGATGAGTCCACTGAAGGCGATTGAAACAGCCCTCACGCGAGAAGATGAAACAGGCAGCATTCAAGGCAGCCTCAATGAAAACGAGAAAGTAGATCTGGAAGTGATGCTTGCCGCTTACACATCAAACACTGCCTATCTCATGAACCAGGAGGCTCGCGTGGGTCAACTTTTACCTGGCATGGATGCGGACCTTGTGGTGCTCGATAAAGATCTGTTTTCCATCGAGCCACACGATATTGGCGACGTTGCGGTGTTGATGACTTTGCTGGCCGGGGAGGTGGTCTTTGATTCAGGTGAAATTGCTGTCACGCAGTGAGCTGCTCAGAAAGGTCTTTTGCTCTTAACTGAAGATCTCGTTTGGACTCCCCACCTCACCCGGTTGTATAGTCGCGAATCGTAATTTTTTACTGCCGTTTCATGCGAATACACTACTTCTTGGCACTTGCCTGCACGTTGACCCTCTCTGCTGTTGTGGTGGCCGAACCACGCGAGCCTGCAGACCTTATCGTCCACGGTGAATATGTGCTGACCATGGAAGAGGGCGTCGCGCCGCTCAGGAACGCCGCCGTTGTGATCCGCGGCGAACGTGTTGTCGACGTGTTGCCGAGTGCCGAGGCGCTGACACGCTACGACGCGGTCCGTGTCATCCCGGGGCAAAACCGTGTGGTCATGCCCGGGCTCATCAACGGCCATACGCACTCGGCCATGACGCTGTTTCGCGGCATGGTTGACGACCTGGATCTGATGACGTGGCTGAACGATTACGTCTTCCCGATGGAGCGCCGATTTGTCACACCCGAATTTGTCCGAATCGGTAGTGAACTGGCGTGTTGGGAAATGATTCGTGGCGGCACAACCACGTTTGTGGACATGTATTTCTATCCGGAAGTAATTGCCAGCGTGGTCGACCGCTGCGGGTTGCGCGCGGTCGTAGGTGCACCCCATATCGACTTTCCCAGCCCTGGCTTCGAAGGTTGGGAAGACTCCTTTGCCGCAGCCCGTCAGTTTGTCGATGAATGGCAGGGCCGACATAGCCGCATACGGCCCGCGTTTGCACCCCATGCGCCTTATACTGTGTCGGCTGAGCATCTCGCTGCGACCGTTGATGCCGCTGCCGACAACGATGCGCTGGTAACCATGCATCTGTCCGAGGGGCCTGCTGAAGTTGCGCAGATCCAGTCGACCTACGGCCAAACCCCTGTGAATCATGTGGCCAACCTTGGACTATTCGACCAAAAACTGATTGCAGCCCATATGGTGGTGCTGACAGATGAGGATATTCAGCGGGTGGCGAGCGCGGGCGTCGGCACTGTTCACAATCCAACTTCAAATCTGAAAGTTGCTTCCGGCGTTTCTCCTGTCCCTGATCTGCTGACCGCTGGTGTTGCCGTCGCGCTTGGGACCGATGGCGCAGCTTCCAATAACGACCTTGACCTGTGGGAAGAGGTTCGCCTCGCAGCGTTGCTGCACAAAGGCGAAACAGGCGATCCAACGGCCATACCCGCGCAAACAGCGCTTGCACTCGCGACGAGAATCGGTGCCCGTGCCATTCGCTGGGACGATGAAATTGGCACGTTGACGATCGGCAAGCAGGCTGACCTGATTCAGGTTGAATACGGAGAAACCAATCAGCTGCCCCTTTACGACATCGTCTCTCATCTGGTGTATGTACTGGACAGCGACGATGTCACGACAACAGTTGTCGCAGGGCAGGTATTGATGGAAGACAAGCAGATTCTGACCATCGATGAAGCTGCGCTGCGCACATCGGTTGCGGACATAGCAAACAAGATTCGCGCTAAGCTGTCTGAATAAACTTCAGCATACCTGGGGCCCTCTGTAATACCTTAAATCAGCGCGCCAGCGCACAAGGGAGAATAATATGGCCAAGAATAGGTCTCACGATTCTGGGATCAGAGCAGGGCTAATCGCAGGTTTGTTGTTGCTTACCGGTTGCAGCCAGGCGCCAACAACGCCAACAGCCACCACCAGCGGATTAGTACAGGGGGTGGTAGATGACGGTATCCAGGCCTATCGTGGTATCCCATATGCAGCCCCTCCTGTGGGTGATTTGCGCTGGCGAGCACCACAGCCCACGCCAGCATGGTCCGATGTCATGCAGGCTGACGAATATGGGGCTGCCTGTTGGCAGGTCACCGATGCTGGGGATGCGCTATTTCTTGGCAAGCTGACTGAAGGCGCTGGCATGCCAGCCTGGTCTCGATGGGTGCTGGATAAGAGTTTGACCCTGTTTTCTATGACTACAGCGGAAGACTGTCTGAGCCTGAACGTTTTTGCGCCAGAAGGGGCGCAAGATCTCCCCGTGATGTTCTGGATTCATGGCGGCGGTCATCAATTTGGCTCTGGTGGAGCCACCTACGAATCAGCCGGCCTGGTGAACCAGGGTGTGGTCCTGGTAACGATCAATTATCGCCTGGGCATATATGGTTTTATGGCACACCCTGAATTGGCCGCGGAAGACCCGAATGGTTCTTCGGGCAATTACGGTATGCTGGATCAGATTGCTGCTCTGCGGTGGGTTCAAAGCAACATCGAAAGCTTTGGTGGAGACCCCGCCAACGTCACCATTTTTGGTGAATCCGCCGGTGGCCATTCAGTCGGGCAATTAATGGCCTCACCTTTAAGCCTGGGCCTCTTCCACAAAGCCATTGCCCAGAGTGGCACCGGTTTTTATCAATTCCAGGCCACGGAGAGTGCACCTGAAAACATCAGTGGCTTCGAAGCAGGTCGTAAGGTTGCTGAACTCGCCGGCGTCAGTGGCGCCAACGAAATAAGTGCGCTGCGCACAATGAGCGTTGATGAGCTCGAGTCGATTGCGCTTGATCCTGAGATCAGCAGCACATTTCATCCCCAGGTCGATGGTTATGTACTGCCTGACCCAACAGCCCACACTTTCAATCAGGCGGCACAACACCCGGTGCCCCTCATGGTGGGTAGTAACGCTGATGAAGGCTCGGTGCTGTATTCTTTTGGCCTGACGCCAGTTGATGGCTCTGGTTCAGAACCACCCACCACCATTGCCCAATGGGAGCAGTTGTTAACGTCGCAATTCGGCGACAACGCTGAATTTCTGGCGAGCGCATATCCCGTTGACGACAATGCTGATGTGGTTGGTGCGGCAACACATTTAATGGGCGACGCGTGGTTCGGAAGGCACGCTTTTTACATGGCGCAAGCCCACAGTGCAGCCGGTCACCCGAGTTATCTATATTTCTACGAACGCCACCCACCATCCGCCGAACAAACCATCGGTGCCTCTCACGCGTTGGAACTCAATCACGTATTTGGCGGCTTTATTCCTTTCTGGCCCAGCGACCATAGAGACATTGCTTTGTCCGCAGAGATGATGGGCTATTGGACTAATTTTGCACGCAGTGGCAGTCCCAACGATGACTATCTTCCGATATGGCCGACGTTCAACGATCTGGAACCTAATGAGATGGCTTTTGGCCATCTGCAGACAAATGCTCGCCCCGTCGCCAGGCAGGATAGATACCGCGCTATGCAACCTCAACTGGAAAGACGGATTGCTGCGGCTGTTACAAACTAAACGAGAGACAGAAGACGCCCGGTCAACAGGTTTAGAATGGCGCCGGTAGGATTGTTAAGCGTCTTCTACTTGGGCACTGGCACATTAGCTTTGTTTATTAGTAAAAAAGTTATCCGGTTGGATACCTTTTTTGGTGACCTCTGCCGCGTTACTGAAAAGGTTAAGTCCAGCGCCTAACACGCCGCATGTGGGGCAAAAGGCCTTTTCCTGCAGATCCTCATAGTCTAGATGGAATACAGCGTCATTGACCTGAACCTTGTTCTGCAACCACGCATTCTTTAAGCCGATTTCGTAACTGGTAACAAATTCTGGATCGGCAAGAAATGGAACGCCCGAGGGTGAATAATCCCATCAGGGTCTTTCATCTGACAAAGCCGTACGTAAGTTTCCTGCACGATATCTTCTACCGTGTCCGGAGGCACAAATCTTAGTGCAGACCTGGCGAGCTCATCGCGCATAGAAATACGCAGATTGTTCAGCTTTTGAACTTTTAGCATTGTAAACGCTGGCATCCACGGCCACTCAGGTAAGTGACGAACGAGTGTTCAATTTCTGCCAGTCACAAAGCAATAACTGTAGAGCAAGACGTTGTGGAAACAATCAACCAAACTAAGGGGTTTGGCCGTTTTGCTTGTCCAGGATCAAAGGTTGAGTTACCAAACTTATCACATGGAACGTCTGCGTATCCGAGCATGTCGGAAAGCTCAGCAAGAGGTTAGTGTCAATTCCCGACACAAGCGGACTAAACGCTAGCACTTTTAGCTACATTTGGCGTCTTTATAGTTAGAACTAAAATTAAATTCTTGGAATTTTCGAGAGACCTACTAGATGAACCGTTTCAGATTTGGTCTGGTTTGCCTGCTAACATTTTTTTCGAGCGCAAGTCTTGCAGATATGCAGCACGTCGGCGCTCAAAACCCTTTGTCCGGTGCGTGGGTTGTGACCCCTGGTGATACCGGGGTTACGGCTTCACCCCAGGCGCCTGACGCGGACTTTCCAGATGTTTATGCCTGGCAGATAAACAGTAATACCGGGGGGCGTCTCCGATATCAATTGAGCGGTCCCACAGCATCAGAATCCTGGGTGTATTCTGTCAGACAGCGGGTAGTTGGCTTATCCGATGCGGTCGATCTGGGCGCACTGCTGGAAGTGTCCAATGGCGACCGGCGCTTTATCTTAACCTTTGGCAGTGATGCCGCCGGTGCCACACTGATCGACCTGGTTGGCAGCGACTTCCCGGATGCGGTTGATTTCACTCTTGCCCCTTCGCAGGTTGGGCGCACGGATTACATTCATGTGGAGCTCGTTTATAACGCAAACATGGGCACCGCCTCTTTGTTTCTCGATGGCGTGCTGAGCGCTGAAGGGTTTACCGGCATTGATGCCGGTGCCGTTGCACCGAGAGTTAACTTCGGCGACGGCAGCAGCGGAGCTGCCGGTACCGCCCGCTACGCCAACGCAGGCTTTACCCTGGGAATGCCTGAGTGTGGTGACGGCAGTGACAACAATGGCGATGGCGAAACAGATGGCGCAGATGCTAACTGTCAGTCTCCCAGCGACCCCAGTGAAGGCCCCTATTGCGGCGTATACCAGGACTATGATCAGGACGGCGTTTGTGAATTTATTGTTGCATCACACCTGGAAGACAATGATCCAACACTGGGTGGCTGGCTGAGCCCTTCCACCGCCAGTGGACAATCCTGGCAGGGTGTTGATGAAGATCTTGGCGCAGGGAATTGTGACGCGCCGTGCCCTTACTGGAGAGTGCGAGACAACGGCACCAGCGACCTGGGTTCTTACAGGATGGACATCGCACCCATCAGCGCCAGTTTTCCCTGGGAACTTCGCGCTCGCGTGCGCATACAGCCACAAACCATCGGTGTAGCGGACTCCATCGATTACTCTAAAACCATGTTCGCCCGTTTTCCGTATCAGACCGGTCGACGGGAATTCGGCGTTCTATTCGGTATCACCGCCGCTGGCATCGTGCAACTCAGGCCATCGGGGACTTCATCAACCATAGATATCGGCAGCTATGGCGACTATCACGATGTTCGCGTGGTGTACGATCCCACTACGGTGAGCGCAGATATCGTCGTCAATGGCAGCGTGATCGCTGAAGACTTGCCCGGAAGGACACTGACCACCTCCACAACTGCGACCATTAACTGGGGGTCTGCATCTTCCCCAGACGTGGGCCAAAGTCATTGGCAGGAAGTGACGCTGGAACTCTTTCCCGATACTGATAACGATGGTTTGACCAATTCAGCAGAGATAGCACTTGGCACAAACCCTTATCTTGTTGACAGTGACGAAGATGGCCTGACTGACGCGGATGAGCAGGCAGCATTGACTGATCCACTCAACCCGGACTCAGACGATGATTCGCTTCTCGACGGCTGGGAAGTCGAGTCCGGTTTGAACCCAAATGTCGCTGATGCGGATATCGACATAGACAACGACAATCTTACGCATCTGCAGGAGCAGGCTGCAGGCAGCAATCCGCAGCTTGCGGACAGCGACGGCGATGGTCTGGAAGATGGCTTTGAAGTGCTCACAACGCTCACGAATCCAACCCTGCTTGATTCTGACGGTGATGGTTTGGATGACGGTGTTGAAGTCAACACGCACAATACCGATCCGATGCTGGCCGATACGGATCTCGACGCCCTGTCTGATGGTGACGAACTAAGCCAGGGCACAAATCCGCGCATCGCTGACACTGACCTGGACGGAGTGCTGGATGGCGTCGAGGTTGCAAACGGTACAAACCCGCTGTTATTCGATACTGACGGTGATGGTTTAGGCGACGGTTTTGAACTGACCTTTGACCTCGATCCGCTTGTTGCTGGCGGCGCTCAGAATGATGACGACGGCGATGGCCTGACTACCCTTGCAGAACAGGCAGCACAAACCAACCCGTTGTCCAGTGATACCGATGGGGATGGTTTGTCGGATGGGGACGAAGTCAATACGCACAATTCGAACCCCTTGCAGGCTGATACAGATAACGATGGCATGTCGGATGCCTTTGAAATATTGACCAATCTGAACCCCCGCCTGGCAAGAGATGCAACCCAGGATGCCGATAATGACGGACTGTCCAATCTGGAGGAACAGCAGAATGGTCTGGATGCCAACAACCCCGACAGTGATGGTGACGGCTTCCTCGATGGCGAAGAGATTTACATTTTTGCCACTGGTGCAGCCGACGCCGACCCGATCGCGGCACCAGGACAATCCAGAACTGAACTGTTGTTTGCCGCGACGGACCAGCCACTGTTCGATAGCCTGCCAGATCCAACCTTTGTTGACTTGTCCGGGTTGGTTACCGAGCAAAGCGGCGGCACGATAAGTCAACGTTAGGTACGAACAATCTCCAGATCAGGGCCGACCATTACAGCGCAGGACATCTGGGATGAAGGCGTTGCGCAGTGTGATGCAAACTCAACCAATATTCCGCTCAATGACGAAATTGTTGCGTGCCGCGACCTCGCGGTATCCCCCACTCGGGCCGAGTGTATTGCAGGCGGCAACGTGAGTTTTGCCAGCCGCAGTATTGGCTGTTGCGCGAACAGGGTGACCGGTGTGATCGCGCCACTGGACGATATAAACAACGGCTGCACGACTGACCCAATCACAGGGACGGCGATCAACACGGTTCAAAGCTTTACGATCAACGAAGTTAACAGCCTCATTGGAGGCCCTTACGTCAGTCCTACCTCGATCAATATCGGCAGTGGCTTTGGTCCGCGACCAACAAGTGATACGCCGCTGCCCGCGCGGGACTACCAGATCGGGGTAGAAGTGAGCCAGTCGGTGAACCTTGCCGGCGGCTTGACCATTACGCCTGGGCTTTCAAGTGCCGAACCCGGCGATGTAGACCTCTACTATGCAACGGCCGCGGTGGTCTCAGCGAGTCGCACTTCTCTGCCCGCAGGACAGGTATTTACCCTTGAACTGAATCACCGACCCAGGGGATATAGCGGTGATGATTTCCGCGGAACCGGCTCTGATTGCACGATCGAAGGGACGGGGTTGCGTGGGTCCTGCATGTCCACCAGGTGGCCGTCATTTCTGACCAGTCTTTCGATGGATTTTGAGATCGGCGTTAACACCGCCGCAGAAATCTGGTCGATTGATCCGGAATCCGGCGACCAGTTGCAGACGATCCTGAATATCATTGATGAGTCATTCAGTAGAAGTTATGAGATCGCTGCTCTGGATTGGCAGATCGGCGAAAGTCTGGATGCGCGGTTGTTCAACGGTGTGCCTGATTTACCCGAAGTCGTTCGCGCTGAAGTGTCGATCTCCAATGATGATCTCGACCTTCTCGGTACAGGAATGTGGGACACTCCCTATGAGCTGCCCGCTGTTGGCGTTGATTTCCCCTTTGGTGTCTGTCCCTGGAAAAACATTAACCAATTGCTTTGTGTGGGTGACGTCGGCGCATTTCTTACCGGAGGTACAAATCTCGCAACTTTGATACTGCAGATACCTGAGCTGAACACCCCGGTCACGCCACCAGGGTCGTCGGCTACCGATCGTGGTTTTTACGGGGGACTTGATTCACAAATACCACAAACGGTGGCAAAACCTGCCCGTCATTTCCTTAACGCGGAAGGGCATCTGATCAACACCCTGCCAAACAAATTGCGACCACTGGTGAATCTGCAGGCCCTGGACGGTTCACCTGAGGGTTTCCTGGACGCTTTTGTCAACGATCGTACAACCCACGATTCAGATGTGTTTCGTGCCGAACTGGACATCGATGGTCTGGTCTGCCTCGGAACGGCCGCCTGCCTGGGTGCAGAAGCCGGAATTACCAGGGTCCTCACATTGGCGCTGGATGCCATTGATCTGGATGTTGTGACCTGGACCGGCTGGGATGCCAGTTATACCTTCAGGCCTAACGTGGAAGCTCAACTGCGCTTCAGTCAGGATACCGAGGTGTTTGACATCGACACCAGTCAATGGATTACCGTACAGGCGGGCCAACCTTACACGGTTGTGGTACCAGCCTGGACGGACAGTACCACCAGCCTGTCAGTGACCCTACCTGACGGCGGTGTAGACGTTGCCGTCGATTACTCATTTGCAAACAACGAATTCACCAGTGAAGCGTATTACAACGTCAAAGTAGCCTCGGTAGCAAACTACATGCAGGCACAGTTCAATGGGCTGGTGGCTGATTTGTTTGAAGGCGCAGCCGGCTTTCCACTGCGCATTGGCCTGCTGGGCAGTGTTTCTGAGTTACCCGCAATTAACGCCGATGCGCTGGTCAGTACACAAACGCTCAGCGGTGCGCAAATGAGTTTTCCAGGTCAGTCGCTTTCGATCATAGACAGGGGTCTGGATAGTGATGGTGATGGGCTTGAAAATGACCTGGAAAACACAACCTGCACCGCGGCAGGTGATGCTGACACGGACGATGATGGCCTGCCGGATGGCATTGAAGATGCCAATCGAAATGGCATGGTTGATCCGGGTGAATCCGATCCCTGTCTGGCAGATACGGACGGAGACGGTTTGCTGGACGGGTTTGAGCGCGGACTTGTCACGCCTGATGCGGATACTGATCTCGCGGTATTCGTCGCAAATCCCACGCCTATTGTTCGTAGCAGCCCAGTCAGCACCGACTCAGACGGAGACGGTTATTCCGACTTCGATGAAGTGAATGGCGGAGGAGACCCGCTGGATCCAACCAGTTGTCCGATCGATCAATGCTCATCAGGTGTATTGAAGATTATCAGAATGATTCAGTAGGCGGTTAGAAGTGCTTTTAAGAATAAAAAGGTGATGTATGCCTTGATCGATGTTGACGATCATTCCCTGTATGGTTAACGCGACCCTCTTAGTGCACTGAAATATCGAGCAACGCCCCCGGACCGATGGCGGAGCACGTCTACAATCACCGCGGCAATAATGACGACGCCTGTAATGACACGCTTGCTGGGTTCGCTTGCACCAATTTGTGCCAGACCTGTTTGCAGGACTGCGATAATCAGCACGCCCATTAAGGTATTGATCACAGACCCTCTGCCGCCGGCAAGACTTGTGCCACCAATTACAACTGCCGCAATCGCAGACAACTCAAGACCGACGCCTGCATTGGGGTCAGCTGATTGTAAGTAGCCAACCTGGAAAAGACCGCCCATGCCAGCAAGGAAACCGGCCAGACAGAAAACCTTTATCCGAATAGAACGAACACTGATACCCGACAGCCGAACTGCCGCATCATTGCTACCCACTGCAATCATGTGGCGCCCAAAGACTGTTCGCGAAAGCACTGTCTGCCCGAGGATAACAACCCCGATTGCCGCGATGAAGCCAGAGGACATGCCCAGGAAGGGCAACGGTGTGCTGATCCATGCAACAGTCGACCCGACAAAAAGCGTTTGCGATCCTGTCACCAGATATGCCCCACCGCGCGCGATCTCCAACATGCCCAGCGTAACGATGAAAGAGGGTACTCCCCAGCGCGCAATAATCATTCCGTTTCCGAGACCGCATAACAATCCCACAAAAAGACAGGCAGTAATAGCAAGAGGAATCGGCCATTGAAGTTCAACAAGGACGAACCCCAGGACGGCGCCGCTCAATGCCATCACTGAACCTACGGACAAATCGATGCCTGCGATGATCAAGACGAAGGTCATGCCCACAGCGACAACCAGTAGAGCGGGTAACTGGTTAGCCATTGTTGCGAAGGTTAATGAAGTGAGAAAGTAATCACTGCTCATGCCAAAAAACACGACGAGCGCGCACAATACGAGAACCAATCCCAAAAAATCTCGACCGAGAAAATCTGCAACACGACTCAGCATAGGTACCTTCTTATATGTCATTCGCCAATAGAGGAGTAGCATTGAAGCCACGAAAAGATGCAACAGTAATACCCTCTGACGTCCAGTTACCTCGCTCAAAAGTCGCCGTTAAACAGCCATTTGACATCACAGCGATTCGATCGCTGAGACCGGTTAGCTCACTGGTTTCACTGGAGACCACAACAACCGCTTTGCCGGCGGCTGCCAGCGCACGCAACAGCGCATAAATCTGTGATTTAGCGTGAATGTCTATACCTCTTGTTGGTTCATCGAACAGTAGAATCTGGCAATCGCGCACGAGCCATCGCGCGATACTGACCTTTTGCTGATTACCCCCACTGAGGGTTTCTACCGCCTGGTCAATGTTGTCACACTTGATCGACAGCGATTCAATCTGCTGTTGAACAGCTTTGTGCTCACGGTCACGATCAATCCACCCCCATCGATTCGCAAATTGAGTGAGGGATAAGAGCGTGACGTTCTGCCGTATCGATTGCGTCAGGAAAACGCCCTGTTGCTTGCGGTCTTCCGGTATCAGGCCGATCCCGCGTCTAACGGCATCAACCGGCGATGTCAGCCGGAGCGGTTGCGTATCGTCATCACGATAAAGTACGCCGCTATCTATTGGGTCCGCACCATAGATGGCGCGAAGTAACTCCGTCCGTCCGGCCCCCATCAATCCGGCGATACCTAAAATCTCGCCGTATCGAATATCCAGATCAATGCTCCGCAGGCGATCAGTCGTGCCAACACCTCGCAACCGCAAAGCACGCTTTCCGGTTACAGGCGTTGGATCAGGCTGGGCTGATTCAACCAACGGCGCGGCCATACTGCTGATCAAAGTTTCCGTGCTGACTTGTTTGGCGGAACCTGAAAAAACCGTGCGGCCGTCTCGCAATACAGAAATGTCATCAGCTATCTGTTTGATCTCTTCCATGCGATGACTGATGTACAGGATTGCTGTGCCCGCCTCAGTAAGTCGTTTGATATTCCTGAACAACAAATCTACTTGAGGATCACTGAGCGCCGCCGTGGGCTCATCCAGGATCAGCAGTTGGCAGGGTGAAGCCAGTGCGCGTGCAATTTCCAGCAGCTGTTGGTGACCGATGCCCAGATCACGAACCTTCTGGGAGGGTGATAACTCATCTATACCCACCGTGCGGAGCAGGGTAGTTGCATCGGCAAAGAGTCGCTTTGAATCAACCATGCCATAACGTGTAGGAAGGTCCCCGAAGAACAGATTCTCCGCGACAGATAAATCGTCGATCAGGTTGAGTTCCTGCATAACCATTCTGATACCGGCGCGATGCGCGTCGAGAATCGAATCTGGCTGATAGGGATGGCCGAGCCTTTGCATATTGCCGCTGTCGGCAGCTGTAATGCCACAGATGATATTGCAAAGCGTTGTCTTGCCTGCGCCGTTAGCGCCCATCAGCGCATGCACTTTCCCGGCAGACAATGTCAGTGCAGTGTTATCCAACACAGGGGCTGCATAGCTTTTGTTAAGCCCGGTGATTTGCAGGAACGGTAGCGTCAAAAGCAGGCTATAAACTGTCAGCAGTGACGAGACGCACTGGTGTCTGCTTATCGGCTGGAATGCGGCCATTGCGAAGAATCTGTAAACCATATTCTATGCCGTAAATCGCCAGTTGATCGCCATACTGATCAACCGTTGCGAGCATGTCGCCCTGGCTCAATAGTTCTCGCGCGGCATCAATGTTGTCGTAGCCGATCACCTGGATCTGCTCAGTCCTGCCGGCCTGGCGGACTGCCGCTACCGCACCGATGGCCATACTGTCATTACTACACAGCAATGCTTTGAGGTCAGGGTGTTCAGCAATCATGGCAGCAGCGACTGAGCTTGCCCTGGCCTGTTCCCAGTTACCGGCTTGGGCACTCACAATATTGATGTTGGCCGCGGCCATGGCATCCTCAAAGCCAAGCTGGCGCTGCTGGCCATTAAACGCCGTCGCAATACCGCCGATGATCGCGACCTGATCACCTGGTGACAACGTCGTGGCTAAATGATCTGCAGCCAGTCGCGCACCGGCGCGATTATCAGGCCCCACAAAGGGCACCTGAATGTTCTCCTGGGTCAACAAATCATGATCCAGCTGATTGTCGATATTGACGACAATCACACCCCGTTGCCGCGCACGCTTGATCGCCGGTATCAACGCTTTCGAATCCGCGGGAGCGACCACAATAATATCGGCGCCCCGTGCGGTCATCTGCTCGAGGAGTGTCACCTGCTGGCTCAGGTCGTTCTCATCTTTTAAACCATTCACGATCAGCTCGTAGTCATCGGCATTGGCCGCCTGGTGCGCACGTGCGCTATCCGCCATATTTACAAAAAACTCATTCGCCAACGATTTGACCACAAGCGCCACGATAGGCTTTTCTTCCACTGTTGTGGTTTCAGCGTTCTCACCGCCACATCCAATGAGAATGGTGGTCGCCATGAGTATGGTGGCAATACATTTGATGAGTCGCATAAGCAGTCCTGGTAGGGTGTTTCTAACTGGAAGTACGTTAAGGTTATCAGTTAGGCATTACCGATAACATGTTGATAGTCTTCAGTGAAACAGTGTCGTTTAATTTGCAGTCGTAGTACCAGGGTATTTAGTGCATCCAGATCAAGCTCCAAATCCAGAAAAAGACGCCCAGGTTCTGCGGGTTATTTTAATTGAAGGGACCGGCAACCTGCTTGTCCTGGGAGCTAAACTTGCGGTGGGTCTTTCCACAGGTTCTCTAGCGATCCTGGGTGATGCGTTGCACTCGGTCACTGACGTGTTGAATAACGGGCTGGCGTGGATGGTCATGCGTCAGGCGAATGAACCGCCTGATTCGAAACACCCCTACGGCCATCGCAAGTTTGAGACTCTGGCGGTTTTTGTTTTAGCGTCGTTGCTAGCCGCTGTGGGTTTTGAGCTGGTCGTACGAGCTTTAAGTCGCGATGCCGCGGTGATTGTGTCTTCTGATTGGGGCTTGGCGCTGATGCTTGGCGTGCTCGTGGTCAACATTAGCCTGGCTACCTGGCAGCGTCGATGGGCACGTCGTTTGAACTCTGAAATTCTGTATGCGGATGCCAGTCATACGTTTGCGGACGTTTTAACGACTGTCGTTGTGATTGGCGGCTGGCAGTTATCCGCTATGGGATACATCTGGCTTGATCAGCTCTGTGCAATAGGCGTTGCGGGACTTGTTTTTTACTTAGCTTATGGTTTGTTTCGTAAAGCCATACCAGTGTTAGTGGATGAGTCTGCAATAGAGTCTTCTTTGTTGATTGCGGCGGCGGAGGAAATAACCGGCGCAGGCAGTGTGCGTCAGGTACGTTCACGCTGGAAAGGCTCGGACTCCGCAGTGGATATGGTTGTTAGCGCTAACGCAGATCTGACGCTGCACGAAGCCCACGCGATTGCCGATGACATAGAGAAGGTCCTCGAAGAACGGTTCGGTTTACGGGATGTTTCCATTCATATGGAACCTGAGCAGACCTGAAGTTTGTTTGTTGTTTGTTTGTTTCAGAGCAATAACCACATCGGTCAAATCAGGTCTGTCAATTAGCGGGCGCGTGCCGACGATTAGCAATGAAACGCTCAAGCGCAGCACCACGAGCAGTATAAGCATCGTCCATGCTCAACCTGTCCAGGGCAACAAGCGCTGCGTCGTATTGTTTGAGATTAATATGGGCAATAGCGAGAAGATAATTAACCTCAGCATGGGATTCTTCCGGCGCGACGGAGGCGTAGATCGCCGCTGCCCGATCAAGTGCCTGGCTGGCAGACTGATATTGTTCCCAATGCAGATACAACTGCCCCATGACAAGTGCCGGCTTACCGTCCTCCGGACTTAGCACCTCAGCCTGCTCCAGCGCCGCTACGGCCGCGTCGAATTCACGCGCTAAAACCCACATTTCAGCCAGCAGGAGATAGTCGCCGGCGATATCGGAGTCTTTCATGACCTCTGTTTGAGCTGGCTCGTTCGGTCGATCAATATTTTCGAGTGCCTTCGCCAGCAGTTCAGCTGCATCCGCAGGCAGACCAACGTGAGCTAAAAACCTTGCCAGCCGTCTGGTTTGCTCAAATGATTCTTCCTGGATCTGTTGCGCCACAGACAGAGCGGCGGTTCCCCGGGGAATGTCTTCCAACAACAGCAATACAGCAGCCAACTGGCGCCACCAGCGTTCTTCTGATGGATCCCGCGCTATCAGGTTTTCCATTAAACGCTGTGCATCTGCGGGCCGGTCAGCTCGAGCGTAGGCATAAGCCAACAGTTCTATCCAGTGGCTACGCGGAACCTCTTCGAGTGCTGCCATTGCGCTCTCCAGACGTGCAATAGCCAGATCCAGTTGCTCCATGCGCAAATAGCCGTAACCAAGAAGAAACAATCCGGTGGGATCCGGCTCCGAAGCTTCTGCGGCCCATATCTCCAGTTGTTGCAGGCCTTGAGGATAGTCGTCGAGCATCAATAATGCCTGTCCAAGCATAAGGCGCAGTGGTAAAGCAAAATCTTCTGCCTGCCCGTCTAAGACAGCAAACAGGTCGTTGCGCGCCTGCTCTATCTGTTGCTCACGAATGAGCAGCGCTGCTTTTTGTCGCACGATGTAAGCCTGCACTGCCGGTGACCGTCGACGACGCTCCAACAGATTTTTCAACGCGTCTATCGCCGCTTGCGGCTCGTCGTCTACGGTCTCCATTATGCGAGAGACCTGCAGGATGATTGTTTCAGGAATATTTTCCTGGGCAGTGAGCGGCATGGCGCAAGCTAACAGAAGAACAAGTACAACGCCGCGATGCAAATACACCATCATAGTGGCCTAGTCCTCCAGCGGCGGCAGATTGAACTCGACATGTACCCGTGCGCGGACAGAAACCGGACGACCTTCGCGAACAACGGGTTGGAAACGCCAGCGGGATACCGCTGCCAGCGCCGCGCGTTCGAAAACCCGCGTTGGATTGGCTTCGATGACTACCGCGTTGTGTACAGACCCATCCGTCGCAACTTCAAATAACACGTCGACATAGCCTTCCTGTTCGCGCATTAGCGCAGAAGGGGGATATTGCGGCGGTAAGCGACTGAGTGCCGTCAACTCACTGGCCATCATGATATCCATCATGGAATCGCCACTGCCTTGGACCAGTTGAGCGCCCAGCGCAACCCCACCCCCATCTGCAAGGAAACTGGTGATGTTCATCATCGCAGCAGTAGTTGGCAGTTCTGTGGCCTCTGCTGCAATGTTCGGATCCATACGCGCCTGTGGGCGCTTGATCTCCTGGGGTTTTGGTGGCGGCTTGCGTCGACGATCTTTAATTTTTGTTTCATTCTCCAGATCAGCACGGACAAAATCGATGGTTTGTGCGTCCACCGCGTCGAACAGACGTACGCGATCTCTGGAGATCATGTTCTCCATGGTGATGTAGAGGATGATGTTAATAGCAATCGCCAGCAGCCCGATAGCCGCATATCTGATGCCATCAGTAGCGGACATCGTTATGGCGATCCCACAGAAGCGTCAGTCGCTTCCGCAGCGGCGATGGCAACCTTGCTTGCTCCTGCCAGTCGTGCCTGATCGATGACCTCCACGACAAGTCCAGTACGTGAATCCTGATCCGACAGAACCACCACTGAAGCATCAGGGCTCTCCAGGAACATCTGTTCAATCACACCACGGACTCGACGTATGTCGATCTTTTTCTTGTCGATCCAGATGTCGCCAACGTCGGTGACCGCAATCAGAATGGTCGCTGCCTTTTGCACTGTGGTCGATTTGGCGCTGGGTTGATCAATCTCTACGCCCGGCAATTTGACAAACGTGGAATTGACCGCAAAAAATATCAGCAGAATGAAAACCATGTCGATCAGCGGCGTTAGATTAATCGCCGCGTTTCCGCCTTCCTCACGAGTGTGCAGGCGCATCATGTCTGCACCTCCTCTTCAACCTGAGGTGTGCCTGTATCGGTGTTAAGGACCTGACTGAGGTGTTCAGTCTCACGATCAATACGATTGTCGAGATCACTCGCGAAGTACATACCTGCCAGCGCCGTCATCAAACCAGCCATTGTGGTGATCAGCGCCTGGGATATGCCTTCTGCCATGCCGCGCACATTGCCGGATCCAAAGGCGGTCATAACCTCGAAGGTCTTGATCATGCCAATCACTGTACCCAGCAGACCAAGCAGTGGAAGAATGGCTGTGAGTACCTGGATGGTACTTACCCAGCTGGAAAGATAGCCGCGGAACTGATTTGTCAGGCCAACCCTGATACGTTCATTAACTTCAGCTTCAGATGTCCGGGCGCTTTGCCACTGTTGAAAAATTTCACGTACCAGACGCGGCCGGATACGGAAAAAGAACACATAGCGCTCCAGGATCAGCATCCACATGACACTGGATATACACAATATGGCGATGAGCACCCACCCACCGGCAGCAAACAACTCACTTTGTGCAAGCAACTCGCTAAACACGATCTGCACCGGCCCGGGCGCCGCGCTGGGTAGCAAACAGATTGGTTGCCGTTTGATCCAACAAGGTTATGAGCATGTTTGCCCGGCCCTGCAGGAAGCTGTGCAGCAACAGCAGAGGGATAGCAACGGCCAATCCCAATTGCGTGGTAATCAGTGCCTGAGAGATACCTCCCGACATGAGTCTTGGATCGCCAGCGCCAAACAGGGTGATGACCTGAAAGGTTTCGATCATGCCGGTCACCGTTCCGAGCAGCCCCAACAGAGGACTGACAGCCGCAATGATCGCCAGCGTAGGTAAGCCCCTATTGAGTCGTTCAGCAGCTCCGGCAACCACCTCATCCAGTTTTGCCGATAACGCACTGGCATCAAGCTGATAAGCGTCATCCTGGGCGACTTTTCGTAAGGTGGCGATGGTATGTCCGTCATCCCGCGCTGGATCGCTTTGCTCCCTGCGTACTTTGCGCTGAGTAAGCAGGATGGCCGCCAGTCGATAGGCCCCCAACGCGACACCGATTGCTCCGATCAGAAGTATGAGATAACCGATGACACCACCCTGTTTTATGCGTTCTGACATCTCTGGTGTCTGCACAATCAGGGCTAAAATGGAGCCTCGCGACGGATCTATGGCAACCGAAGTCAGGGGTTGTTGTGCTTGTTCAAATTTTAACGCCTCGCCGGCACTTGTCCCTGCGGGTTGACGCGCAAGTGCCAGCAGTTTGCCACTGTCTGGCAGGAACCTTAAATATTGACCATCCGCCAATGCTGTAAACGTCCCGATACGCGTGACCTGTTTCATCACTTCTTCGCCGGTGGCGGTAATGACTTCGGTTTCAAAACGCGCAACGTGGCCGCTTTTTTCCATCTCATCCAGAAGTGTCAGCCAGAGCTCGCGAAGTTCGGCAGACGTCGGGTTGCGTTCACCCGAGGCCAGTCGCTCAACCAGCTCGCTGCGCTGACCCATTTGTGCAGCGACTAAAGAGTTCTGCAATATAGGTGCAACGTCACCCGCTACCTGCCTTACAACAGAGAAAACTTCCCGCAGATCGCCGGCATTTTCATCCAGCTTTGTTTCCAGGTCTGCAAGCTCTTCCTCACCGGTTTCAAACTCAGCGCGCAATCTATCGGCTTCGTTTTCGGCAGCCTGTCGCCGTTGCCTGACATCCCGTAGAAGCTGCGCACGCTCATTCCGAGCGGCAATAAACCGTTGCTCACGCTCAGCCAGCCTGGTCTGATTGCGTGCGGTTTTGTCCCGCACACTACGCACAAGTTCGGCCAGGGTCTCAGGCTGGGCCTGGGCTTCCTGACTTGCAGACTCCGCCCCATAGGTGGCCAGCGTAAACAGGAAAACCTGCAGGAGAGCAAAACCCTTGAACGCCTTCATGACTCCGCTCCCGCAGTCCACAGCGGCAGATGCAGTAGATTAGGCGGCGCCTGTTTACGCGCAACCCGAAGCGCAAAATCCAGTAAAGACAAATATTCTTCATCAAGGTCGTGCCACTGTTTTTCCGCTGGGTCCCACAAACCAGCCTCGCTGCCGTCAAGGCTTATGTAATACAAAGCCAGTCTGCCAACACGCAGGAAATCGACCGTGAGGTCGCGACCATCGAGCGTCAGAGAACCTTCATAAGCCTCAATGCTGCGACCATATTCAGCTTCTATCTGGTAGGCCTCAATAACCCGGCGATATTTTTCGCCCAGCGTAACGTTTGACCGATTCAGGTTTTCGCGTAATGCGGCTAATCGAGCTTTTCGTTCCACAAGCAGGAGCGGCTGGTCTAATTCAATGAACCGATCCAGCAGGTCAATCATTTCAACCATCAATGGAAACAACTCGCGCCGCACAACTTCGACTTCAGTCAGTTCTGCGCTGAGTCGCTCTTTTTCGAGTTCCTGGCTGGCACGCATCTTGCGCATATTGGTGTTGTACGTTTCAAGGTCTGAAAGACGCTCAAGCTCACTGTGATACTGGGACAGGAGCGCAACAGTTTCGTCGTCTAACGCATCAATGCGCTGTTGGCTTTGCATGCCTGCATTTTGATGACGCTCTTGTGTGTCGAGCACATCCCCAACTGACACATTGTCTTGCGATCCTCCCTCAGCGCCGATGACATGCTGTGGGGTTAACAGGAACATGAGCGTAATACCCAGGCACAAAAACGGGCAAACCACTGGAATTTTTATATTATTTCTCCCTTTTCCCATTGGGAGCTTAATATCCACGAACCACAAATGAACCTGTGGAAAACCGAAAGTATTGAATTAGGCAAACGCGAGATAATACAGGTGGTGGTGGCTAGCCGGCGTCGATGACGCAAGCGGCATGCAGCTGTGACCACCCTGGGGTGGTCACAGCGGTTTGTTCAGGCGTTAAACCGCATCACGATTACCTACCCGTCCGAACAGATATTGCACCAGCAAACCAAGACCGGTGATGGTCAGCAAAAAGTTGACGATGCCACCGATAAAAGGCACGTTCACGGCGACGATCACGATGCTTAAGCCAACCAGCAAACTCAGGACTGGCCGACTGTCCTCAGCAAACACCATTCGGCCAATCAAACCGGCAACAATTACTTTTGCCAGGTATACCCCCGTCAGCAGGGCGGCAATTGCAAAAAAAGAAAACGGCAGGCCAATAAGTGTGACCGCTACTAACACTGCCGTTATGGGGACGCTGATCAGCGTCAGCAAACCAATACCGGCAGATTTAAGCCCTTCGACACCCGCGCCGATAGACAGCGATCGCAAACCCGGCACCAGCCAGAATATCGCCACACCCACCAAAAACGCAGCTATCAGGCGAGCGATCTGCCACAGATAAAACTGCACCGTGGCGTACCGATTTTGTTCTTTAAATTCTTCGGGCATGGCAACAAACTCGACTTCGCCGTCCACCCGCGCGCTGTCAGCACGAAACAGTCTGTCTTTGTCGGCGGAGCGAAAGCGCAGGTCGCCGGTAATGTGTGCATCGCTCAGCAGCCTTACCCGGCCGGCAAAAGCTTCCAGGTCCTGGCCAATATCACCGCTGACCTCAATGCTGTCTGAAAATGCAGTCACGTCGCTGGCAACGTTCCCTTCAATGACCGTTTTCTGGCCGGCGAGGGTGGCGTTCCGATTCACCCGGGAGTCGCTATCAAGCGTTACGGTCTCACCGGCCGCCCATAAGTCGCCCCCTACTGTGGCAGCTTTCAGGTTGTAAGATGATGCTGCGCCAAGTGCAAGTCCGCCTACCTCGCCACGAACATTCACCGTTTCCGCAAACGTAATCAGGTTACCGCCAACAGAACCGGAGATGTCTATGGTCGCTCCAACTGCTATGACGTCACCGGTGACGGTGCCTTCGATGGAGATTGTTTCCGCGGCAACTATCAGGGTGTCGTTTATGGTCTCCGACGCCGCAATGGTCACCTTGTTTTCGTCGCGCCTGATTTCCAGTGCACTTACCGGTGCAGGCATTGTGACCGCCCCCAGCGTTGCGGCGAGTACAAACAGACTTGCTGTGGCGCGTGTCCTGTTGTGCAGCAATACAACCGACAAAGCGGTGATCATCAACATACTCACAACGATGAAACCAAGATAAGCATCGAACATGGCTGTTCCCTCTTCTATTAAATACAGTACAGTGCGGCTCGCCACTGCGTAAATGTCGGGCAGATAAATTGAAGTGAGCCAGTCAGCCGCGTTGACTATCAGTTCACCGAATATGGTCTTCCACAAAAACTGCGCTGACCAGATCACAAATCCGGTTGCCAGATTAGCCAGCGCAAACCCACGTAGACTTGCGGGACGCGAAAACTTAGGTATCACCAGTTCTTCTGCTGCGTCAGATTCTTCAATCTGTAACGCGGTGATGAGGTGATGAGCCTCGTCCTGATAAGCGGACAGCAGAGTCCGGCAGTCCGCACACGTATCCAGATGGTTGATAACAACATTCGCTTCGTCCGTCGATAGCGCACTGTCTGCATACATCGATAGCTGTAATGGCGTCGGATGAGTCATGGCAAATCTCCGCCTGCAGTAATCAGCTCTGCGCGTAAACTCTGTTTTGCGCGCAGCAACAACACGCCCACGTGATTGCGGCTGATGTCCAGCTGTTCAGCTATCTCGTCGTAACTCAACTGATTAAAATAGGCGAGCACCACCGGCACCCGATATTTATCCGGCAACGCTGCAATCGCGTTGTTCAGCGCGTCCGCGTCCTGCAAGGCAATAAGATCACTCAGCACGGGTGCGTCTACAGCGGCGATGTCTTCCATTTCGACAGTTTCATCGCCGAACAGCGCATCAGAGCGTCCACGCTGACGCAACAGGTCGATACAGTGATTGTTGGCAATGGTTGCTATCCACTGCCAGAACGATTGTTCTGCATCGTACTTACCAAAGTTTTTGTAAACACGCATAAAAACTTCCTGGGCCGCATCCTGGGCCAAATCACGGGAATTCAACAAACGGCGGCACAGCCCGAAAACTCGAACGTAATATTCTCGGTAGAGAATGTCGAAGGCTGTGTTTTTTGCCACGTAAAATTCCGGTCGCTTAGTAGGTAATACGACCCGGCGCAGCATTTATTACAAAGAAGCGCAAAAAATGTCAGCGCTGAGCTTCAAACCAGTTGGGGAAGGCAGAACCCAACACTACATTAACCCATGGGCTAATGGGCCATCGTTGAAAGAGTAGCGTAGCTGTTAAGGCCGACTTGCCACACGCGTAGGTTAGCCATTCGTGTGCAGTTGAGCAGGCGATGATCTGACGCCTATGTAACAGAAGCCGAGCGTACCTTTGCTCGGGCTATGCGCTGTCATGGGTTTGTTGAGCTGAATCTGTAGATGAAGTGCGCGCTTTCGGCGGTGGTAATGGGAGCCGATCAATATGGCTTCTAATCGGATGCCGTCAAGAAGTCTTCTGTCGGGGTTTCCAGGGTCGCCAATAACTCTAATAACTCGCGGAAGCGAGGGTCCTCCACGATAGCCTCATATGGTCCCGGTGTGCGCATGTAGTCGATCACGGATCCATCGCGGTCTTCGATGGCTTCACGCATCATTGCAAACGCTGTCGGATACTCGCCGAGGCCAAGATACACTTCCACGAAGTCGCCGCGGTTTCTGTTTTGCGGTGTCACACCGGCAAGTATCTCTCGCGCTTTTGAAGCATCGCCGAGCAGGAGGTAAACCGGCGCAAACCGGCTGCGTGTATCAGCTTCCGCATGAGTCCAAGCTTCATCAACTACCTGTTGCGCCTCTGCGACGCGCCCAAGGTCGATGAGCGCCCGTGCGCGAACCAAGAGTGCCTCAAGCATGGGGCGACCGCGCACGGCAAGGTTCAAAATCTGATCTGTTGCTTGGATGGCTTTGTTCGGCTCGCCGGCAATCAGAAGAAACTGGGCGTACATCTGCAGGGTAAATGGTAACTCCTCGCCTGCTGCTGCACCGCGGGATACCTGACTGACTAAATGCTGTCGGCCATCTTTTAAGCGCCCTTCACGTATGGCAATGTGCGCCAGAAACGCAGACCACCATCGGCCCTCTGGAAACGCTGCTCTTTCCTTGTTGATCAAACGCTCAGCTTCGGCGTAATTGAGATCCAGATCTTTGAGGACCTGTATCAGGAAAAAGGGCGCGCCGCTGGAGTCCGGCTTTAACTCAAGCGCCTTTGCTATGGCCGCACGCGCCTGAGCGGAGGCAGTATTCACATCGATATCCGGATCGGTTCTGATTGTATAGTGCCAGGCGATGTCTTCATATGCGGCAGCAAAATTCGGATCGACAGCAACAGCAGTTTCGACAAGTTGGCGGGCGTAGGATTGCTGGCCGCCGTTACCCAGCGCTATGTTGACCGATATCTTCTGTGCATCAAGGTAGTAGTTGACGGCCTTCGGGTTGATTCCGGCGTATTCGGCAAACAATTCCGGATGCTCCCGGGGAGCGTCGTTGTGCAAATAGGCTTCAGCCAGGAGCGCAGCGTTTCGCCCCACTTCCTGCTGCACGTTGAGTGGGTCTTCACCCGCCCGATCGTAAACTCTGGACCAGACGTGATATCCGTCTGCGCCTCGGATCAGCTGAACGGTAATGCGAACTTGCTCACCTGTTGCCTGAATGCTGCCTTCAAGCACGTAAGCAACCTGCAGCCGCTGCGCAATTGTCTGCACATCTAAACCCTCGCTGGCCAGTTGGAAGGCGGATGTACGCGAAGCCACCTTCAGCACCTCTGACTGGGACAAATGGTCGAGCACCACCTCCGCCAGACCTTCGCCATAAAACTGCAGCTCAACATTGCTGTTGAGGTTGACGAAGGGTAAGACCGCAATCGTTTCCAGATGCGCATGAGCTGCGTGTGCGGATAGGTCGGCGGGCGCGTCCTGGCGTAAGTATTGGTACCCGGCACTGGCACAAGCCAGCACGAGCACGGCCAGCGCTGCCAGTACCCAGGGACGCCTGGTTGGTGCGTAGCCATCAGAACTTACACTTTGTTCTGGCTTCGCGGCTGCTGGAGCGGATTGCGATTGTGTCACAGCGGATGCGTCAAGATCAGCCGTCTCCACAGTTGCAACCGCCTGGTAACCGCGCTTGCTGATCGTTTTGATGAAGTCCTGCTCGCTGGCAGAGTCGCCCAAGGCGTTACGCATCTGGGAAATGAGTCGGTGCACGGTACTTTCTTCCACGATTCGCCCTGGCCAGAAGTGCTCCAGCAGCTCGTCCGTAGGCACGACGCGATCGCGATGAGAAATCAGGTACACAAGCACGTCCATGACACGGGGTGAAACTTTGATCGTTTCACCGTCGCGCACTAATTCGTTCAATTCCGCCTGAATCTGTACGCCGCCGAATTGGCAGCTGCTGTCTTTCATTGCCATTAAAAGCAAGATAGCAGGTTCGGTGCCTCATTAAACCCTCTCTTTTTATAACGCTAACCTACTGTTTTATAAGCAATATTTGTCGGGGAGGTTTTTAGGAGGTATTTCGGAAGTAAACGCGAGGATCTGGATCGCGTTGTCTTCGAGTATGCACACCGTGGGTTTGACCACGATATCTAAATAACTCGGAGATCGACATGAATATGACTATAAAAACTATCCTGATGACAGGCCTCTTAAGCGCATCCGTTTTATCTGCAACAGCTCACGCTGGCATTCAGGAGCAGATCAAGAGCAAAGTCGACGCCATCAAAACTGACACGGGCACCTTGAAGACCCGCACCTCCAACTTGATAGACAAAGCAAATGAACAGACACAGCGCCTGGAAGAGGTTGCGTCGACGGCAAATGCCGTGATCGCCGAGACGGATATCATTAAGAGCAGCCTGCAACAGGTTGATGGGGTATTCGATACCGTGAGGGTGATGAAAGACCGATTCACCGAGCTTCAGTTTGACCCGGCTGAGTTGATTCAGAACGACCAGCTGCAAAACGCCATTGCCAAGTTCAAAGAGAAAAAAGCCGCGGCCGAGGAGCGTTTAAACGATCCTGATCTGGAAACGTTCCGACATGACTTTTTGAGCATGCTGGGAAAGGTGAACGGTATGCTCAGGAACGAAGAGGCTGAGACTGAAGTTCTGCCGCTCCAGAGCCTGGTCGAAATTGCGCCTGCTCCGGTCATCGGTGTCTTGAAGTTTGCCGTCGGCCCTGTGTTTCCCAAACTGCATCATGCCGTCAATTCCTTGCATGCAAACACCGAGGAGATGCGAGCTTTGGGTTTGTGGGGTTATGAAATGTATCAGCAGAGTCAGTGTGCACAGAGCCAGGTAGAGCACAATCAGAAGCTGGAACTGCTTTACAAAGCCAGCCAGGAGCTCATCGACGTGGTTCGCGATCTAAAAATCATGGAGTTGAAAATCGAAGTGCAGGAATGGGATCTAGGCGTTCATGGTTACACGGGTACTAAAGTCACGACAGGTGACGACGCGAAACAGCAGATTCAATCTCTCATCATTAAATTTGAAGCGCGCCAGGACGAATTCGACTTGAAGCGCGAAAAGCTAAACGCCAAAAACATCAATTGCAGCTAATCCTCGCAATATGTAGCAAAGGCCCCCGTTCCGGGGGCTTTTTAATACCACAACACATAGATCGGACGAATTCCTGGCTGAAGATCAGGCTAGCTCCAGTGATCGGCGAAGTATGCGCCTAGCGTAGAGGGCGACAATGGCCTCGATGAACATGCTGTTCGATACCACTGCTGGGATGATATGACCTCATTGGGAACCTATAGGAACCTATGGCAGAATAGTCGGCGCGTTGAAGCTGAGTCTTTCAACTGAAGTGGTGGGTCAAGGGGATGATATTGGCGATCTCTTTGCTGGATTCACAGCCTGTTCTGGCTCGTTAGGGTTGTTCTAAAGTGGCCGATGAACTCATGACGAGCATGTGTTGCAATCTAAGCGCACTACCTCCGACGGTCGACCCCTGGGGCGTGAGCTGACTTGTGTAACCAAGCAGTTGAAGCCGCACTCGAGACAAATGAGCGAGGCTGAAATTTCACGAGGCAACTAGGATGCAGACCATCATATACCGCTACCGCAAACTGATCATTTCGGCGACCGCCGCTGTTGCACTCTATGCCGTGCTGGGTTTTTTCTTAGCGCCGTGGCTGGTTAAAACCAATGCGATAGATCTGGTGCGTAACAATCTGAATGCAGAATTGCGCCTGCAAAGGGTCGCAATCAATCCCTTTGTATTGAGCCTTACAATTGACGGTCTTGAATTTGATGATCCCAAAGGTATGCCCTTTGCTCGGATTGAGCAGATCTTTGTAAACTTCCAGCTCAGCTCGCTGTTTCGATGGGCCCTCTCGTTTGATGAAATCCGCGTCGACTCGCCGGAACTGTTCCTCTCTCGTGATGACAACGGCGAGTTAAATATCGCCTTTTTGACGTCCGGGTCCAAAACGGCATCAGAGGAGGAAACCGAAGCAGAAACATCATCAATGCTGCCCCTGTTGGTGTTCAATTTTGAGATCAACAACAGCGTGTTGAACTGGAACGACCAGGTGCCGGCTGATCCGGTAGATACGCGATTTGGCCCAGTAAATATTGCGGTCGCCGATCTCAATACCCTGTCGGATCGAATCGGACAGCAGAAGGTTGTGATCGCAACTGAGCAACAGGGCACGCTCAGTTGGAGTGGAACGTTGCAACTCAATCCACTTCTCTCTGAAGGCCGCGCTTCGATCAAAGGATCTCATTTCCCCCTGGTGTCTGCTTACATCAAGCACCAGATTGGCTTCGATATTGTCGACGGCGTTGCTGATATCGAATTGAACTATCGCGTGGCCAGTCCGCCCGGCGGGGAGTTTGAGGCCACCGTTGACGACTTTAACCTGCAATTCAAAGATGTGCTCGTTCGTACATTTGCCGGTGCATCTGATTTCGATGAAGCCGATAGCAGTCGCGATGTTTTAAAGCTGCCAAACTTAGAGCTGACGGGTGGCGCCGTGCGTTGGCCGGAAAAGATAGTTTCCGCAGATGGGTTTACCATCAGCGACGCGCTGCTTAGTTTGTTGCGCGATGAAACCGGTGCACTCGATGTTGTGCCGCAGCGAGCAGCTGATCCAGAACCCGTTGCAGAAGTAGACCAAGGCTCAGCTTGGCGCGTTTCCTTAGACCGGCTTGCCGTCAGAGGAACGTCAATTCATCTCGAAGATCAAAGTGTTTTGCCGGTTGCGCATATGGGCGTTACTTCGTTGAGTATTGATGTCACTGATATCAGCAACGAACCTGGGAGCACGTTTCCGACCAAGCTGGCATTGCTTTCTGAGCTGGGCGGCACCGTGACGGTCGATGGGGCAGTCGCAATTCTGCCCACTCTCCTGGTTGACCTCGCGGTGGCAATAGAAAATCTTCCGTTGGCCGCATCTCACCCCTATATAAAGCCGTTGGCAGACGTCAGCCTGGACTCGGGTAATCTTGAGCTATCCGGACGACTTCAAAGCTCGGCCGCTGACCCACTGAGATTTGATGGCGAACTTGCCGTTCTTGATTTTCTCATAACAGAAACCGACGCGGGGTCTCGACTCGGCAGTTGGGGTCGCTTTGCAGCAAAAGAGATTGCATTCAGTAGTGCTGGCCAGTTACTGAGCGTGGCCGAGCTCCAACTTAACCAAGCGTATGGTGATATCCGGATCGCGGCAGACGGGAGCATCAATCTCGGCCGCGTAGAAAAGTCTGATGCGCCTCCCAGGGTTGAATCAGACGGCGATACCGCGCTGCCTCTGGCCATCACTATTGGAAAGGTTGTCATTGAAGAGGCCGCGGTAGATTTTGAAGATCTGTCCCTGCCACTACCTTTCTCAGCCAAGATTGCCGACCTCAATGGTGGCATGAGCACCATTGCGACCAACAGTAGCGAGCCTTCAGCTGTTGAGCTTGAAGGCAAAGTTGATGAATTCGGTTTTGTCCGTGTTTCCGGATCCGTTACACCGCTCGAAATTTCGCGTGATACAGATTTGAAAGTCGCTTTTCAGAATGTCGCTATGCCTAAGCTTTCCGCTTACACAATCCCCTTTGCAGGGCGGGAGATCGATAACGGCAAAGTAGACCTGGATCTTGGTTACAAAGTTACCGCTGGCGAACTTGTGGGGGACAACAATATCGTTTTGCGTGATCTGCAATTGGGTGACAAAGTTGAGCACCCCGGCGCGATGAACCTACCCCTGGGACTGGCAGTTGCGTTGTTGAAGGATGCGGATGGCAATATAGACATTGATTTGCCGGTTAGAGGCAATGTCGACGATCCAGAGTTTCAAATCGGCGGCGTTGTAATGAAGGCGTTAGGGACCCTCATCACGAAAATTGTTGCATCCCCGTTTGCATTGCTCGGTAACCTTCTCGGGGTTGAGGCGAGCGAACTGGAATACCTTACCTTTCTGCCCGGCCGTGCAGATCTCACACCACCGGAAATCGAGCGGGCAGGAAAACTGGCTGAAGCGCTGGCGTTGCGCCCGGAACTTGCGCTAGAGCTGCGCGGCGCCAGTAACAGCGCAGCCGACGGATTGGCTTTGAAAGCCGCGAAGCTGGACGCACTGATCGAGGCGCAAGTAGCCGACGCCACTGCAGGCGACATGAAAACGATCGTTACAGTGGAGCGGCAGACGCAAATTCTTGAAGACATTTTCTTATCTATGCCATCAGCCGCTGAGTCGCCTGCAAATCTTGACGCGCTGCGATCCCAATATACGACCGTGTCTCCAGAAACAGAGGACACCGTATTTGACTCGGTAGCCTATAGTGCTGAGCTGCGTAGACAGCTTATTGAGCGACAGGCTGTGACAGATGCTGAACTTACGGTGCTTGCGAATCAGCGTTCTGCGAATACGCGCGATGCAATCACTGCGATAGCGCCGGATCTCGTGAGACGAATCGTTGTTGGTGAACCGGAACCCGGCGAGCTCAGCGATGACAAAATGGTGCGCATGAAAGTCACCCTGAGCGTGAGCAGCGAAAGCGACTGAAAAGTGGCTCACATCAATAATAAAACTGCCCGAACCGTTTGACGGTGGGCAATTGGCGCGAGCCATTGACGGTTGACTTTACGGCCTGGGAGCGACTCGCCAGCAAGCCTGCTAAGCGGCTGCATTTTTTTCAGGTTCTTCCTTGAGCACATAAATCTTTAGTTTTTTATCTGAACGCAGTTCCAGATTAATTAGCGAGCCAATCGTGTTTTCAGTCAGGGTTGTGCCTTTAGCAAGCAAAACGACACCTTCATTGGTAATCAAATCTCTGGCAAGACGCATTCCTGGCAGTAACGAAACAGTTCTCACGCTTGTTTCATTCAGAGATGGGTCCAGCTCATCAATGGTTCGAACTACGATCTGAAAGGCTTTCACTACACCGGCGTCGTAGGCATTGTCTCTTTCGGCAACAATTCTGGCCACAGCCTCGGCTGGCGTTAGCTGTGCTTCTTCTATCGCGCCGTCCATCCATTCATAGTAATCGCGCGTAACAGCAAGGATTCTTGAGCCCAGTGGTATCCCTTCTCCTACACGCTTCTGTGGAAAACCATGGCCATTAAACTGTTCGTGCTGACTGCCAATAATCTCGCTGGCTTTTCTGAACCGGGGGATACTGAACAGCACCGCCTCCGCATAGGTTGTATGCTTTTCAAATTCGACACGCTCCTGTTCTGAAAGCAAAGACCGTGGTTTTGCCGTGATACTTTTTGGCACACCCACCCAGCCGAGCTTGTGGAGGCGTGTTGCATATTTGAGATGCAGAAGGTCTTCCTCATCCAGGCCGAGCTCAGCACCGATGGCTAAAGCGAGCCTTAACTTTCTCCGTGATTTGTCACTTTCCGGGTTTGGCATTGCTGCAATGTTGGCGACAAGATCCACCATGAGTTCATTTGTTTCTTCAAGTTCACTCAGCGCGTTACTGAGCATGCCATTAGCGTGTTCTAGTGCTTCTGTTCGCCGTGAGACTCGATCTTCAAGCTCTGCATTCAGGGTGTGCAGCTCCGCGTTCTGTGCCTGGGTGAGTTGAAACAATTCGTCATTGTCTTTCGCAAGCGCGGCGATCCTGATGCCCTCGCTCACAACGCGTCGCAGTTCATCGTCTTTCCAGGGAATATCCAGATATCGTGAGACACCCCCTTCGTTGATCGCAGATTTGGCATCATCTAGATGTACGTCACTCGTAAGCACGATCCGGTAGCAATGCGGTTGATGTGTTGATACTTCTTTGAGGAATTCGGAGCCACTCATATGCGGCATGCGCATATCCGATATGACAACATCAAGCTCACGATCTTTCAGGAAGGCAAGGCCTTCTTTGCCAGACGAGGCAGTGAGCACTTCAATGTCGAGCTTACTGAGCGTTTTCTCAATTAATTTGAGCACCTCTGCGTCGTCGTCAACGCTAAGCAGCACGGGTCTTTTGTTGTCCACGGTAACCTCCTTTTATACAGCTACGGGAGCGCATGCAGCGAATGGCTTTTACACCTAATCGTCTAAGTATAGGAGACGGACAGGATCTATAACGGCTTTTAAATTTTGGTCTAAAAGTATGGAACGCCTGCGTTTTCCATTAGAAAGAGTCGGGTTGCAGTGATATCTGTCCTGTCGTTTGAGCAGGTTAGCCATTCACGGTAGTGGAGCAGACATATCCGGCGCATGCGGAATCGAATCCGAGCGCCCGTTTGATTAGGACAAAAACCCTTAATGATCAATCTCGTGATACCGAGCGGATAACGTAACCGCCGGAGCGCTCATCAAGTTCCATTGTCACTATGCCGCGTGATTGCGCTTCTTCCAGAAGGTCGCCAAAAGAACGGAATCCGTAGTAGGACTCGCTGAATCCAGGGTGACGACGTTTCAGTGTTTGCTTGACCATGGAACCAAAGACGCTGTCGCCTCTTTCTTTGATCAACGCGTCGGCGGTTTCAACAACCAGATCAATGCCTTCATCCTGCTTATCACCCTCAGCCTCGTTCTTTTTGCTGGTTGTACTTTCGGCCGCCTTTTGGCTCCCACTCTTTTTCCTCGATGACTTTCGCGTACTGCGTTTAGACGTGCTCTCCTTGATCAGGTCATCGTAAAACAGGAATTCATCGCAATTCTTTATGAGCAAATCGGAGGTGCTGTTCTTAACACCTACGCCAATAACCAGCTTTGCGTTCTCTCTGAGTTTGCTCACTAAAGGAGAAAAATCAGAATCACCACTGATGATTACAAATGTATCGATGTGATCCTTCGTATAACAGAGGTCTAACGCATCAACGACCATGCGTATGTCAGCAGAATTCTTACCCGATTGACGGGTGTGCGGAATCTCTATGAGCTCAAAAGCGGCTTCGTGCATGGTGGCTTTGTGCTCTTTGTAACGATCCCAGTCACAGTAAGCCTTTTTGACGACAACATTGCCTTTAACCAATAGGCGCTCAAGGATTAGACCGATATCAAATGTTGGGTATTTTGCGTCTCTCACGCCGAGAGCTACATTCTCAAAATCGCTGAAGATCGCAAGGTTTCTGTCGGAGTCGTCACTACGCATACCGTTCCCCAATTCGCCGTTTTTGTAATGTTAGATCATACCTTCAGGACGGTACCTGTGAGAACTAAACCCATGAGAACTGTGAACTTCTATGTTGATTCGCCGCCCCCGGCGGAGGTTATAGAGGTGCTGGATCTCGAGATGGCGCACCGCGGCTTTCCGCCTTCTGCAAAGATCCCTACCATCACCGCTTACTGCATCCGACAGGCTATCAAACACATCTGTTGCCCGCGTATCATTGCACACTTAACCCAAGCGTCTGCATAACCTGTGCGCGGTGATCCAGTGCGGCTTTGGCGACATTGCTGCGTGTGCCGGCTTCCAGGTAACGGCGTATGCGTCCCGCATCTCCCAGAGGCGAACGGGTACCCAGGGAGTTGAGCAGTACCACGCCGACCTTTCGGCCAGCCATTTCCGTCACCATAACCAGACAACGCCCGGCTTCGGTAAGGTAACCGGTTTTAGTCAAGCCTACCTCCCACCGGTCGCTGCCTGTCAGCGGATTGGTGTTGCCGTAGGCAAGGCGGTAGCGCGGTTGCTTGAAGTTCACGGTGAACTGCCGGGTGGTGGAATAATCCCTCAGCAGCGGTTGTTGATAAGCGGCGATCACCATTCGTGCCAGGTCTGCTGCAGACGACCTGTTAGTGACGTCCAGCCCGGTCGGGTCGGTGAAGTGGGTGTCCCGCATATTCAAACTGAGTGCCCTGGTGTTCATGCCCTTAACAAAAGAATCAAAACCGCCGGGATGGTGTAAAGCCAGGTTATAGGCCGCACGGTTCTCCGAGGACATCAGAGCAATGCGCAGCAGGTCGCGGCGGCGCGCGCTGGAGGCCAGGCGGATTCTGGAATAAGCGTTCTTGGCGGTTTTCCTGTCCCAATCTTCAATGGTCAGCCACTCGTCCAGGTCTGTGCCTGATTCCAACACCACCAGCGCAGTCATCAATTTGGTGATGGAGGCAATCGGCAGGACAATGTCAGCGTTCTGCTCCAACAGCACCTGGCTATCCGTAACGTCCACCGCCACCGCGCTGACCGAAGCCAGCGCCAGGTCAGCGCCTGTGGCTTGCAGCGGTAGCAGAAAGCTGATCAGACTCAACACAACAATCAGTTTGGGCAGCGCGATGCGGCGCAGTTGTTGCATTTGCTTTGGGTGTGAAAGACGGTTCATGGTGCCTACTATTGCTGGCGGACGTTTGTGACGCAAGTTGTATCGATAAACATCCTGCAGGACACTTCCGATGGCTCTCTTAGCGTGGCGACTCTCCGTAAACCAATCCAAAGCCGGCGGATTTGTAAGCCAGCAGAGTGAGCAGTGTTTCTGATGCATATCGCTGTACGCCTGGGTCCAATGAAAGAAACCAGTTCTCCTGAGTACGATAGACAGGTGTGGTGTAGAAAGAAAATACACCCGCCCGCGTTTTGTCACTGGAAGTGTTGGCGCCGCTGCGATGCCAAAGGCGGCTTTCGAATGCAACCATACTGCCCGCCGGTGCGACGATGGGGGTCATTGCTGTAGACGCATCACCTGAGTTCGGATTGCGGTGCAGACGGTGGCTGCCCAGGGCAATTTCGGTGGCGCCGTTTTCGGCGGTGAACGCATCAATACACCAGAGCACATTGAGGCCCTGGGGACGGGTCGGCCAAGGTTCAGGGACAAAAATCTGGTCGGCATGCAGTACCCCGCGTACCGCCCCGGGCTCAGTGATGTTGCCGGAAATGTTGCTCAATAAAGCTGGCCAGCCAAGGGTTTCGCGCACCAGGCGAATGGCCATCGGGTGCTCGGCCAGATCCGCGAACACCAAATCGCGATTGAGTAAATTCCAGACCCTTTGGTTGTGCTCGTTTTCATCAAGGGCAAATCCTTTTGTCGCCCGCCCTCTCTGACGGTCACTGTCAGCGGCGTGGTAAAGTGCCTGCCTGGCATTCTCCAGCGCTGCTGCGTCCAGCGCGTTACTGATGACGCACAGACCATGCAATGCTAAATCACTGACAGCTTGTTCGATATCTTCAGTGGGCCCGGGGGTCGTCTGTCTGGTCATCTGATGCCTCGTTCGTGTAGCTTCAGCTGCAGCAGTTGTCCGGCGTGGCGCGCATTGCCTTCTGCCATGAGGCCCAGGCGCAGGAACAATTCAGGGTCCAGGGATTTCTGCAGTTCGACCGGGAGCAATGCGTTCCAATTGACCTGCGGGCGCAGAAAATCGGCGGAGTAATAACCAAACAGCAATGCGCGTTCACTGTTCTCGGTGACATTAGCGCCAGACGTATGCCACATGCGTCCGTCCATCGCGATGATTGACCCTGCCGATGCTTCAAAGGCGACAGTATGTTGCATCGGCATAGCCGGTAGATCGTCCAGACTTCGATAGAGATGGCTGCCTGGAATGTAGCGGGTTGCGCCATTTGACTCGTATACATCGTCAAGGCACCAGATGATGTTCATCGAGTGCGGCGCCAGCCAGGGTGGGGGCGAGACAAACCCGAGATCCGAATGTATAGGCATGGAGCCGCTACCCGGCAGCGCGATGTTGGCGGTGAAGTTGGAGATCATGTAGTGCTCTCCCAGAAGCACTTTCACGTATTCTATGGCGCTGGGGTGCAGGATCAGTTCCCGGAATACCGCATCCAGACCGATGAGATTAAAGATCCGTACGTTTTTGGCATTGGGGTCCAGTTCAGGCATGAACGTCGAGGCTCCCGACGCTTCGAAGGTTTGTGCAGCAGATAATAATTGCTGGCGCAGGGCGGACACCTGTTGTGCATTGAGTACGTCAGGAACAACACAAAATCCGGCGTCTGTGAGCTGCTCGGACATGCCGTTGTTGTACATCTTTACACCTGCTTAGCCGTAGATGCTTGCGAGTTTAGCACGGGGTTAAAACGGTTATGGTCCCAGTCCGGCAAATCTCGTCACTCTGTGTTTTAAACACTTTAACCTGAGTGATATTTACTTCGATCTGAAGTCAGCCTCGTCAAAATCATTAGACAAATGAATTTGCAAAAATTCCCTCGCCTCAGCACGCCTGTCCGCCGAATCGGCCAGAACTGATTCGAAGAAACTGAGCGCACCCAGTTGGGTAATCATATGCTGTCGGCCCGGATGTATGGCCTCCTTCACCTCTGATTGGCAACGCGTTGGCGCTGAAGCGTCGAACACGATGCCTTCTGCACTGGAAAATAAATCCTCATTGGTTCTCCCCTCGGATGCATCAATGTTCGCTTCCACCGACAGGCAGGCCACTGAATCTGCGTTGAGGAAGAATCGAAAGGTGGGGTCAGCCATTCCAACAAACCCGATATGGTTTCCTCCATCGATAGACAGCAGCCCGCCGTCAGGGACCCGTTGAGGAATTACAGCAGCATTGGAGGCGAAGTCGATGAGCCGATCAGCTGTGCCGGCGATCATCAGGAACGGTAATGCCAAGTCATTCTGAGTATAGAATTTCTCAGTTAAATTGGCGGAAGGCCCTGCAATCGAAATGGCAGCCTTAACCCGGGGCTCGCGCAAACGAGGGTGATACGCTGTTAAAGAAGTTGAAAAGCCACCCAACGATAGACCCATTATACCGATGCGATCAGCATCGATTTCTCCACTATAAGGTTTTTCTGAACCTGCCAAAGCGAGCACTGTATCAATTAAAAAAGTTACATCTGCCGGTTGCTGTGACACGTCATTAATGTTGGGGCCGCCGGGCGCGCTGCCGCTGGTCAAAGGAAAGTCCGCGGCCACGACAACATAACCAAAGGAGGCCAGCTGCCGCAAAAGATATTCAGTCTCGCCTCGAGAAGAAAGAAATCCGTGGGAGTAGACAATCAGCGGATAGGGGCCATCGAATTGCGCGGGATACCAAATCGTCGCTGGAAGACTGCGCTGCTGAGCACCGGGGAAATCTCTGTTTTTTTGCGTGGGGCGTGATGTGTCTGCCCATTCATAATCAGATGAATTAACCGGATACGGACCAGGTTTGAGCCATTCAAACGAAGCTGAATTGTCCGGCGGCATTTGCGGTGCGGTAACACCGACTGCAATAAAAACCAATATCACGAAACAGACGATAAGCACCCCAATGCTCAGCGCTATTTTTTTAATCACAACATGCCCTCAAATGATTTAGATCACAGCATCACAGCAACTTGCTAAACGGATAGGAACTATAACCGCCTTTTCATGTTGATATAAAAGTATGAAACATGCGTGTTTGCATTTGAAAGGGTCCGATTACGAAGATACTCATCACACTTAGAGGTGAATCTGAAGGATTTGACGATTCCCGCAGCTCTAGTCAACATCTAAACATTGCAGATGCCGGGAAATATTGATGAGCAGCGAACCCTATGTACTGATTACCGCCGACACTCATGCTGGTGGCAGCCATGAGCAATACCGCGAATATCTTGATCCGCAGTACCGCAATACGTTTGATGAATGGCGGGGTGGCTACAAGAACCCTTCCCAGGCGCATTATGGCAGCAAAAAAATGCGAAACTGGGATCTTGAGATTCGCAGTAATGACCAGAACAGCCAGGGTGTCGTAGGGGAGGTCGTGTTTCCCAATACCGTGCCGCCATTTTTCCGCAAGTCGATTGTTACCGCACGACCACCAAAGCCTGATGAGTATGAATTGGTGCTGGCCGGCATCCGGGCGCACAACCGCTGGTTAAAAGACTTTTGCGCCGAGGACCCCGACAGGCGTGCGGGCATTGGACTCATTCTACCTAACGATCTTGATGAGGCTGTCAAAGATATTGAGTTTATTGCAGAAGCCGGATTACGCGGTGGCGTTCTGTTACCCCTGATTCCACCAGACTGCACCTGGCTGAAACCGCTTTACGATCCGGCGTGGGACAAGCTTTTTGCAGCGATCCAGGACCATGACCTGGTCATGAACCAGCACTCGGGACAGGGCTCTCCGGACTATGGCGGCAGCATGGTGGGTGAAGCTTTGTGGGTGACCGAAGTGACCTGGTACTGCCAGGCCGGGTTTCGGCACCTGATCATGAGCGGTGTTTTCGAGAAGTTTCCGAAGCTGAAATATGTACTGACCGAATCCGGGTGCGCCTGGGTACCGGCGCTACTCGAGCAGATGGATCGCATTCATATGGGTATGAAAGCCGGCGCGATTGGTGAGCTCAACTATGGGGATCAGGACTGGGTGCTGACCGAACCACCCAGCTTTTATGCCAGGCAGAACTGCTGGTACGGCGCCAGTTTCCCAAGCAAGGCAGACCTGGATGGTATCGATAAATTAGGCGTTGAAAAGGTCATGTGGGGTAATGACTACCCGCACTACGAAGGTACGTTTCCCTACAACCTGGAATCGCTGCGCCTGACTTTCGCCGATATACCCGAGGATGTGCGCAGACGAGTGCTGGGATTGAATGCGGCGGAGGTCTACAAGTTCGATATTGAAAAGCTGATGTCACTGGTCAATAAATTTGGACCGACACCTGATCAGGTGAACGAACCATTGCCGTTTGACCAGATTCCCAGGGACTCCATGTGCTACCTGTTCCAGGGCGCGCTGGCCGCCGGCAAATAATCGAGGAGAAAGAGTTATGACTGTGCCTTCTGGTATCGGCATCGTCGATACGATGATCGGTTTTCCCGCCGAGGACTTCGCTATGTATGACTTCATACGCGAACAGTTGAAAGATCCGTCAGCAAAATTCGATTTTCCGGTCGAGTATATGTTCAAGCAGGTGCCAAAAGAACTCTATGGCAGCACGGACGATCCTGTAAAGGTGACACTGGACCAGATGGATCAGTTTGGCATCGAGGTCGGTCTGATTGGTGTCGGCGGAGAGGTGTCAAGAAAAGCCCTGAAGGATCACCCGGATCGATTTGTCGGGCAGGGCAGTGTGGACCCGAATAAAGGTATGGATGGCATCCGCGATATGGTGCGCCAGTACGAAGAGTTTGGTGTGCGTTCATTTGGCGCGTTCAATGCGGGGTATCAGCCGCAAGTCGGCATTGCCGATCCGCTGATGTATCCGATCTATGCAAAATGTGTGGAGCTGGGCGTTCCGATCTTTTCCTGCGCCGGCGTGCCGGGGCCCAGGTTTCCCATGTGGCCCCAGAAAGTAGAGCTTATTGACCAGGTGATGTATGACTTTCCGGAGCTGGTTTTTGTCACACGTCATGGTTGTGAACCCTGGGAAGACCTCGCTGTAAAGCTTATGCTCAAATGGCCGAATCTGTATTACTCAACCACGGCGTTTGCACCAAAGTTCTATCCCAAAGCAATCATCGACTATGCCAACTCCCGAGGAGCCGATAAGATCATCTACGGCGGCTATTTCCCGATGGGTCTTTCGATAGAAAGGATCATGTCTGACATGCAGGATCTGCCGCTCAAGGATGAGGTGTGGCCAAAATTCCTGCGTGACAATGCTCGCCGGGTCCTCAGGTTGGACTGATCAAGCGCTCGTGGCAGTAATAGACATTCAGATCCACCACTTCGCGGGGATTGCTGGCTGTGGGTAAGTCAGCTCTGACTACTCAGATAAATTGAAGTCAGCCTGTCTATGTCTTCAGGATCCAGTTCATCTAATACCTCGGCCGAAGATTTTCCGTAGCCTAACGCCTCCATGCAGATCAGGTGTAAATCGTCGCGGCTGCAAAGCATTTGTGCCAGGATTTCTACGGCCGGAAAAATCATTGCGCCGAGCAGGCGCTCTGTTACCTTCAATTCAGAAGCTTGTCCAATCTCGGCGGGCTCGCCGATCTCCCACTCAGGTTCGGTATTCTTAGCACGCATCTGTAGTTCCGTGGAAGCCTGATAACCCCGGCCAAGCACAGACAGATTCCTGCTTGCAGCTGCCATGACGGGTAACCCAACAAGGTTCATTACCGCAAAAGGTCCAAGACCGACACCAAGACGTTTACGGGCGATGGCATCTATCTGCCCAGGGGTAGCCATGTCGAGGCAACGCGCTGCTTCATTTATGTAAGGCAACGATTGCCTGTTCAGAACAAAACACGCTGTGTCGGCGCAGCGTATTGCACGCTTGCCCGTTGAATTTATCCAGCTGTGAATAGATTCTGTGACACTCTGTGTCGTTTCTGCTGAAGGAATGATTTCGACAATTGGGTTAAAGTCCGGTGGATTGTTGAAATGCACCCCAATAAACCTGTCAGGATGAGTCACACTATCGCTGAGGTCTCTGATTAGCAGGGAGCTTGTATTCGTGGCGACAACAGCCCCATGAGACACCTTGCCTGAAATCTCTCTAAGGACGCGTCGTTTTATATCGATATCTTCGAAAACTGCCTCAATAACAAATTCACGGTCCTTGAGGTTGGAAAAGTCTGTGGTTAGCGTGACAGGCAGTTGATCAAATTTTGAACTGGCGCGATCTAACTGCATCTGATCCTTGTCCAATAAAACAACCTCAGAACCTTGGCTTGCCAGGTGATGAGCGATACCGGATCCCATGAGCCCAGCGCCTACAACCGCTACTTTTTTTATCATTCCTTTCACCCGACCAATCGCTGGGGGAGCGTCTACATGTTGAATTGTACGCTACCAATTGTTGTCAGTGGTTCTGAGTCGCCCAGTCAACTTCCAACAAAAGGTCTGTCACAACCTGAGGATGTAGTCTGGCAACATCGTTCTGCTCGCTGATGTCACTTACCAGATCATACAACTGGTAATCTGCCACGTCTTCGGTATATCGGCCTAGCCAGGATAACTCCGGCGCCTTTTTCTGGCGCGGTAAAACCAGTTTCCAGCGGCCTTTGCGCACAGCCTGCAGTGTTGTCAGAGAATAATAAAAATGGGTGCGAGAGTGTGTCGTGGGGTTTCCATACAATCTCGGTGTGAGATCGTATCCGTCTATTTCCACGTCCTCAGGAAGTGGTGCGCCCGATGCGGTTGAGATTGTTGGCAACAGGTCCATGACGCTGGCAATGTGATGGTCCTCTTGTTGCGCAGGGATAGTGTTGGTCCAGCGCATGATGGCGGGCACCCGCACGCCGCCCTCCCAGTTTGAGTATTTCCCTCCTCTTAGAGGTTCGGCGCTTGCGCCATTTCTGTCGGTCAGCTGTCCTAGCGGCGGTCCGTTATCGGACAAAAAGATAACCAGCGTATGTTTATTGATATTCAGCGTCTGCAACTCCTGCAGTATTTCTCCCAGGCTCCAGTCCAGTTCCATAATCACATCGCCATACAGACCACGCCGAGATCGCCCGGCGAATGTCGAACTAACACCCAGAGATACGTGGGGCATGTTGTGGGAAAGCAACAGAAAGAAGGGATTGGCGGCGTTTGAGCGGATAAATTGCAGTGCCTCTTGTGTGTACCGGGACGTTAATTGGTTGACATCCGTTTGAGTTTCGATGATTGACTGATTGCGCATGAGATCAACGATAAATCTGGCTGGATCCACCTGTTGCGTGTAGCCGTTGTGCATCGGTGTACCAAAAAAGTAGTCAAAACCCTGGGCATTTGGCATAAGTGATTTGTCGAATGGACCTTTCCCTCCCGGTCTGCCTGGGGGTAACGGCGGCGGTGTATAGTCCCAGGGTGCGCCATCTCCAGCAAGATGCCACTTTCCGATGAGTGCGGTTCTGTAACCTGCCTGTTGAAGGATTTCAGCAATGGTCACTTCGCTCGCGGCCAGAGTGGTATTAGGAGATTTAGTGTTACCCGGTTCTTGGATACGCACCGGATAACGTCCAGTCAAGAGCGCCGCGCGTGAAGGGCCGCAAAGTGGTTGGGCGTAAAAACTGGTGAATTTGATACCTTCTTGTGCCAACTGATCAATGTTGGGGGTGTCTAGATCGTGACTACCGTAAACACCAGCGTCGGCATAACCCTGGTCGTCGGTCAGGAAGATGATGATGTTAGGCGGCTGGCTGGGTTCACCAGCAAGGGTTTTTGAGGCTATTCCTGTCAGTAGTGCTACGAGGACAGATATTGTGGCGATTGAATAGCGCTGAAAGTTCACAGTGGATCTCCGATGTCGAAGACGAACTTTGAATGCAATAGTCTCGGTGCGGGTGATCCTGGCGATCTCATAATCAACCCAGCAGTGTCTCCACCAGAAGCTGCTCATAAGCTTCAAGATCTTTCCAGCCAACAGCGCAACGCACAGGCCGACCTTTGGCGGGATCGATGACTGTGTACCCTTCGTCCGTCACTCGAAGCGGCAGGGTCTGCATGTCGACAAGATCTTCGCTGGCAGCGAGATACACCGCCACGGTGTCAAACAGCGTGGTGCTGATGCGAGTGGTGTCCTGGTTGGGGTCAACAAAAGGTGCCCCAGGTAACCAGACACGGTAGTTTTCCATGAGTGTCTGCAGCCACGGATCATCGCTCAAGTACAGACGGCGGTAATTGTCGCCATCAAGCACAACAAGTCCGCAGGTATCCAACGGTGTGATGGTGCATTCCCAGGGTGCAGCAAAAACACTCTGCAGGGATTGTGGATCGATTCTGACGTTGTATTCTGCGGCCGGCTCAGGCGAGCCCAGGTAGCCTGTGTAGATTGATCCGTACATGCCCACAATCTTTGCATTTGAGGCAATCGACGGATCGCGACGCAGCGCTTCGGCAATATTGGGTACCGGCCCCAGGCAAATGAGGGTCACAGGCTCCGGGGATGACTTGATGGCATCAATGATCGCCTGCACACCATCGGTGTGCACAAGACCGGGGTAATCACTGAGCTGGTAGTCGCCTATCCAGCCGCTCTGCTGGCCGGGCTCGTCTGCCTGATCCATACCGATGCCCACAGGTACGTCACTCCGACCCGTAACCTCTAACAGTTTTGCCAGCAGGCGTGCCCGGTAGATGGCATTGCCAAAATCCCCAACGGCAAGCTTCAGATCCAGGTTGGGCATGCGCAGCAACATGAGCAGGGCCCAGGTGTCATCAATGTCATCTCCAATGTCGGTATCCAGGATAACCGGCTGACCACCGCTACTGCTGGCCAGCGCGCTACTGCTTAAGGCGGCGGTGAAAGCCGCGGCAGCTGCAAGAAAATGTCTGCGTGTAATACCGGCTCGCGCAGGTTGCTGGTGAGTGGGGTGTCTGCTAAATCGCATGAACTATGCGCTCAAATGATGTGATTACCAACAGTACGCGCCCTCAGATGGTCTCAAAGGCACGTTAGTGTCTTGCTTGTACTGGCGACTTGTTTGAGTGAGTTGTGCGGAGCGTTGGTCGGTACGGCTGCGAAAATCTGTTAGCACCGCCAGGTGGGCGGCATCGTCAACCAGATTGTTGCGTTCCTCGGGGTCGCTGGCCAGGTGAAACAGCTGCTCAAAAATGGGTGTCTGACCGGCCAGGTCCAGATGTGCCTCGGTGTAGGGGCAGCCCTGTGGCTGCAGATAGCGCACATATTTCCACTCATTACTTCGCAGTGCTTCGATAAACGGGTTACCTTCCGCCACGGTCAGACTTTCGAGAAACACTTCTTCCCGCGGTGCGGCGTTGCCGTTCAGGTCTTTGCCCTGCATGTTTGCGGGTACCGACACATCTGCGTAAGCGAGCAGAGTGGCGGGTACATCAATGCTCAGTACGAGGTTGGTATTCTCTCGCGCGGCACCCGCCTGCACGTTGCGTGGGTCATAAACGATCAGGGGTATTTTGGCGACCAGATCGTACAGCAGGCCTTTGCCGCCTGTACCGTATTCGCCGTTCAGCAAGCCATGGTCACTGGAAAACACGATGATGGTGTTGTCAGCTATACCAAGATCTTCAAGTTGTGTCAGCAGTTCACCTACTACCTGATCAATGCCGGTAATCGTCTGGTAATAACGGATCAGATGTTCCGGCTGCAGGCTGGGCTCATAGTTATAGGCGTACCATTTCTGTCGTGCTTCGTGGTCAATAACGCCTTGCGGAATAAACTGATAGGGGTCAGCGCCTGTATCGGGTGAAATTGCAATGCCCGGGTCCCGGTAAAGAGTGTCGTAAATCGGGTGCCCGCTTAAACGGGGGTTGGCGTTTGCCGGATAGCCCATGACCCTGCAGGCGTAGTTGTCGCAATCGTCATGGGCACCTTCAGGATACATGGACGAGACCACCGAGTTGTGTGGTGCCGAGAAACTGACCGATAGATTAAACGGCTTGTCAGCTGGGCGCGTTGCCAGAAATTCTGTGATGTATTCCCCCATGATCTCGGTGGTGATGTCGCTTTTGGCATCTTGATAGATCTGCGTAGCCGGATTGCCTTCAATGTCTTTGGGGAAAAAAGGCAGCCAGCCATCGTGGGCGCGCCAGTAATCGAACTGCGCATTTGTGCCACCTTCAAACGAATAATACTGCACGCCGAATTTGCCAATAAAGCCGGTGTGATAGCCGGCTTGTTGCAGCAGCGCAGGATATGTCTGCGCCCATTGTGTTTCTGACACCTCATAAGGGGAGTTAAAGCCAAGACCACTGGTGCGCTCATACTGGCCCGAGAGAAAGGCAAAACGACTTGGCGCACAGATGGGTTGCACGGTAAAAGCATTGCTGTAGCGCACACCGCCGCGCGCCAGTTCATCAATGTTAGGTGTTTTGATATCGGTATTGCCTGCGATAGACAGCGTGTCTGCGCGCTGATCATCGGTCAGCAGAAAGATGATGTTGGGTCTTTCGGTTGGCTTTGACGTGGAAGCGGGCGTTTGATCGGGTGATTGTGTGCACGCTGCCAGAAAGGCGCATGCGGTGACGCACAGCGCGCCAAGGCCCTTACGAAAAGGACCTTGACGGTGTGTGCTCTGAACTCGAATTAGAAGTTCCAGGTACCCTCGATTCCCCATACTCGTGGCTCATTGGTGTAAGCCAGCAGGTTGGCAAAATCAATGCCACCGAGAATGTTTTCTTCATCGGTAATGTTACGTGCGAAGAGTCCAACCGAGTAGTCGTGCTCAAAGTTACGATAGCCGAACTTCAAACCACCTTCGAACTGGGTATCGGTTGTGTATTCAACGCTTTCATAGAGAAAATCGTTGGTTTCACCACGGAACTTCCAGTCGGAGAAGATATAGACCTCTCCTTTACCGCTGGGTAGCGTAGCTGTGTAGTCGATTTCGAAATTTGCGGTCCATTCCGGCGCATGTTGGAAGGGATTACCGTCGATCAACGCCAGACCAGCACCGTTCAGCCGATCAGTTACAGTACAAAGACCGGAACCGCAGGGTGCAACAGCCAGTGTGTCATCGTTGATCTCTGTTTTGTTGTAGCCGTAGCCTGCTGACAAGACAAGGTTGTCATTGACGATGTAATCAAACTCGAATTCAACACCGTAGCCGGTTCCTTCGTCACCGTTTAACAGCGTGGTTGAGTTGCTGGCGCCGCCGACGGCGGTGAGCTGAATGTCATCAATCTCATAGGCAAACGCGGCGATATTGAAACGCAGCTTCTCGTACTGTGCTTTGTAGCCTAACTCGTAGGACAGAATAGTTTCTGAATCGGCGGTGGTGACTTCCGGGTCATCTTCCAGGCGATCCTGAATGGTGGGTGCTCTGAAACCTGATGCCACGCGACCGTACACCTGACCGGCTTCGGTTACAGCGTAGGAAAAGGCCAGGTCCCAGCTGATGTTGTCATCGTCAAGATCGATCTTCGGCAGCACTTCATCCGGAACGCCGCCTGCGAAACGAATGTTGATCGCTTCTTTTTCGTCATCGGTGTAGCGCACACCTGCCGTAATGGTCAGCTTGTCTGTGAAGTCGTAGCTACCCTGTCCGAAGAAGGCGATTGATGTGTTCTCAATGTTTGCTGTGGATCCGGTTTGAAACTCGGTAGCTCCAGCACTTTGGTTTGCCGCTGTACCGAAGAAATCATCTTTGAAGTAGAAGACACCTACCTGATAGTTCATCGGCCCTTCGAAGTTGCTCGCGAGGCGAACTTCCTGAGTGTACTGCTCAAGATCGATATCGCCGCCAGTATCAACGTTTACGACAAAGGGTGAGGCAAATGGCGAGAACGGGTCGCTGGCTGGACCAGCAGGTCCGCTACAGGTGAACAGACAACCAAAGCCACCGTCAATATCGCCGCGACCGAATCGGTCTCTGATGTCCTGGAATGAAGTGATTGAGGTCAGCGTGTAATCCTCATTGACGTCCCAGTCCACTTTGAGGGTTGTACCGCTGGAATCGATACGGCCTTCGTTGCCGTCACCGCCATCGAAGAACACTTTGTCGCGATCGAAATTGCGATTCAGGCTGTTGCTGCCCTGACTGAGCACGTTTGCCCGGAACAGGCTGGTGGTGCTCTCGGAATCCTGACGCTGGTGCATGAACCATACGGTCAGATCGTCGCGCGGGGTCCACTCGAACTGAATGCGTGCTGCACTGATGTTGAATCCGCCCAGTGCGTCGCTTTCGCCGGTGAAGCCGTTATCGACCCAGTCGGAGCGTTTCTGTCGTAGGAAAGAAACGCGACTGGTCAGGACGTCTTCAATCAGTGTCCCGCCGACCGCGCCTTCAACATTGAAGGTGCCGTAGTTGCCTGCGGAAGTTGTAATGTAGCCTTCGGTTTCAGCCGTTGGACGGCGTGTATTCACTTTGACGATACCCGCAGTGGTGTTGCGTCCAAACAGGGTGCCTTGCGGGCCGCGAATAATCTCGATATCCGCCATATCAAACAGCGGGAATCCTTTCAGAGCCGACTTTTCCATGGGCACGTCGTCAAAGACGAGTGATACAGGCTGTGATGCAGCCGCTGTGAAATCAGCGTTACCCAGACCTCGAAGGTAGAAACGTGGCGCCAGGCGGCCATTTGACGTTTCGATGTACAGGCCAGGTGCGGCGCTGGATAAAGCCAGAATGTCTTCACCGCCTGCAAATCTGGCGTTCAATCGATCACCAGACATACTGGTGATAGAAATAGGTACTTCCTGGATGCTTTCATCCCGCCGTTGTGCGGTAACAACGATTTCTTCGAGGACTTTCTGCTGGCCAGAAGCCGCTTGAGTCTGCATTGGCAAGCCGACGAGTACGCAAAAGCTTGCGGCTACGCCGGTTGTGATAGATTGAGAGAGCGACGGTCGCTGAGGCATTATCGGGGTTCCTTGATGATGGTGATACGTCGGTGTGACGCACTTTACAAAAACCTGGGGCGGCATGACAGCCAAAAATGATATTTGGTGCCTATCCAGCCGATATAATTGGCTCAACGAACGAGATCCGGGCAAAGTATGGATAGAAGAACCTTTTTACTGAGCACTCTCGTCGGTCTGGGGGGCGCACCAATGGCGCCACCGCTATATGCCGCGGGCAAAATTTCTGCGTATCCCTTCGCACTGGGCATTGCCTCAGGTGATGTGACCGCCAGCAGCACTGTGTTGTGGACTCGACTTGCGCCGCGCCCACTGGCAATCAATGGTGGCATGCCGGAGCAGGGTGTTGCGGTTCAGTGGGTGCTTTCGCAGACGCCAGATATGGCCACCATCGTCCGGCGTGGTGAATCCATGACCCAATCGGCATGGGCACATTCTGTTCACGTCGAAATAGACGATCTCGACGCCGGCCGGGAGTATTGGTACCAGTTTCGCGTGGCGGGCCATGTATCGCCCATCGGTCGTACAAAGACGTTACCTTCGGGTAACAGCGCGATGAACAGTGCGCGTTTTGTCACCGCATCCTGCCAGAACTATACCCACGGACACTTTGTGGCTTATCGGCATATGGTTGCTGACAACCCGGACTTTGTGATTCACCTCGGCGACTATATTTACGATACCTCGTTTGGCGAGACCTTCCGGCAACACGACACGGAAACAGCACCGACCACGCTGGATGATTTCCGTCGCCGGCACGCTCTATACAAGACGGACCTGGATCTGCAAAACGCGCATGCTCAGATTCCCTTCTTTCTATCCATTGATAATCATGATGCATTAGAAGATAACGATCCATCTAAGGCACAAATGCGAGCGGCGGCTTATCAGGCGTGGTATGAACATATGCCGGTGCGTGGTTACAAGGCGCCGGGAGATAATCATTTTGATATTCATCGTCGGATCGCGGTGGGCAACCTGGCCCAGATCAGCATGCTGGATTCCAGGCAGTTTCGCGATACCCGGGAAATCTGCACTGGGGACTATGACCCGAGTTATGGTTTCGGTAACTATCGGGAACGTTGCCCGGCCGTATTCGCTGAAGAGCGCACCATGTTAGGCAAAGCCCAGGAGGATTGGCTGACCAGTTCCATCAGCGAAAACTCCAGCACCTGGAATGTCCTTGCGTCACCAGGTCCCTTCCTGCCGTTTTCTTACCAGCATAATGGTCAGGATTTACGCTACATTGGTGCCTGGGATGCTTATCCTGCTAACCGGCAGCGTGTCATGGATGCTTTTACCCGGGCCAGGTCCGGGCATCCACTGATTTTGAGCGGAGATGTGCATTCATTCTGGGCGTTGGATGGCGCTCGCGCAAAGCAGGCAGGTGAACAGTTTCCACTGGTGGAGTTTGTGACTTCAGCCATCAGCGCCAACTGGCCGCCACCATTGGCTCAGCCCGTTACAGACAACCTGCCAAATAACCCGCAATTGACGTTTTACGATCCCATCTATCGCGGCTACCTGTTGCATGACGTCACCAGCAAAGCCTGGACAACCTCTGCGCGCGGGGTTGAAGACATGCGGGACCCCCAGTCAGCAATCCGTACTCTGGCCAATTTTAAGGTGTCTCATGGCAAGCCGGGCTTTCATCAGGACACCGAGTTGTGAGCAGCCGAGGTTTCAGCGCCCCAACTTGCGCCATGTGTTACCCAGCAGGCGTTTTGCGCGTCTAGCCACGCTCTTCAGTTTTGAATCTGGCGGATGCAGCGGTACGCCAGCGAAGTGGCTAGTGAGTTGTTCCATTTCCTGTGCGGTGAGCTCAAGTTCCAATGCTTTGACCTGCTGTATGACCTGTGACGGGCTACTTGCACCTGCAATGGCAGCCGTGATTCCGGGCTGCTGAAAAACCCAGGCCAGCGCAACTGCCGCTGCAGTCACTCCATGTTGCGCGGCAATAGGTAAGAGGGTGTCCTGCACAACTTTTCGAATCGCGATCGGCGGGTCTACTTTAGAACTGCCTGTCAGATGACCTGCAGCGAGCGGCGAGTAGGCCAGAATGCCTATGTCGTTTTTGATACATACTGGTATCAGCTCTGATTCGATCCGCCGCTGCAGCAGATTGTATTCCGGTTGCACACTGGCAAGGGGGACATCACCCAGGGCGCGTTGGGCCTGTTTGATCTGCTTTATCGAAAAATTTGATACCCCGATGTGCTGCAGCTTGCCTGCGGAGCGAAGATCCAGCAGCGCACCCATGGTTTCAGCTAATGGTGTGTCTTCGTCTGGCTGGTGAATCTGCACCAGGTCCAGAGTTTCAAGCTGCAGCCGTTTCAGACTCTGTTCTACTTCCCAACAGATTGATTCCGGTCTTGAGTTCCTGCGTACAGCGCCGCGATTGCCGTGTGGGTCGGTAAATTCGAACAGCACCTCGCCATGATCTCCTGCATCCCAGCGCAAACCAACCTTGGTCAGAATTTGGACTTTTCTGTCAGGCATACTCTGCAGGGCGCGCGCAATCTGACGTTCAGCTTGACCAAAATCATACAGCGGCGCCGTGTCGATGGTGGTCAAGCCATTCTCGATGGCGGCTTGTAAGACCTCAATCCTTGTGCCGTCGTTGTGGGTGCCTCTGGCCATAGAGCCGAAGATAAGGCGCGGTACAGACAGATGGGTGCGCCCCAGGGTGGTAGTGTTCATTTTTGATCTCTGTGGCTGCCCAGGCAGAGTTCGTGGTGGGCTAACGATTCGATAACGTAGCATTTGTCGACCACACCAGCCTGGCAGCCGTCGACTATGCGCTCCAGTTCTGTTTCAAGTTTATTCAGCAGGCTCAATCGATCGCGCACCTGTTGGAGATGCCGACCGGCAATCTCGTCGACGGCACTGCAATCATCCTGTGTGGTTCGACTCAAATCGATGAGGCTGCGAATAGCATCGAGCGGGAAACCCAGATCCCGTGCATGTTTGATGAAGCCAAGCTGCTCAAGTCCAGTTTGCGTGTAGCGACGCTGATTGCCGGCACTCCTTGAGGGTTCTGCAAGTAAGCCCATTTTTTCGTAGTAACGAATGGTTGGGATTTTGACGCCAACCTGGGCTGACAACTCGCCGATGGTAAACATAAAAGATATCTCTTGAACCTCTAATAACTAGAGCAATTATATTCCTGCTTCTGTTGAGCAAAAAGGCTTTTTAGCATGGCGATTGTGCTGCTGGTTTCGTTTCTCACCTTTGCGGTTTTCGGACGTATTCTCATTCAGTATTACTATACCGGCGATCATGGTGTCAGGCTGGCAAAGCCAACTGCTTCGCCGCAGGAGATTATCCCCGGAGTGGCCTTTGTCCTGTCTTTTCTGGTCAGCGCGGTGCTGGTTATATGCCACCATTTTGAGCGACTGGGGCAATGGCAGTTTGCGTCATCTCTGATCACCGTCACCGCCTCGCTGTTGGGGTTTGTGGGTATTGCGATCCTGCTGGTTGCGCAAATACAGATGGGTAAATCCTGGCGCATCGGAGTGGATCCAGGCGAGGAGACGGATCTCATCACAACCGGACTTTACGCCAGATCCCGCAACCCGATTTACTTTGGTATCGGGTTGTATTGGATCGGTGTGGTGCTGACTTTTCCGCATCCGGCGATGTGGGCCTGTGCGCTGATCTGTTGGATCAGCATAGAGATGATTGTACGTAAAATTGAAGAGCCGTATCTGCTGCGCATACACGGTGAAACATTCAGCGATTACGTAAAACAGACCAACCGGTATCTGCTTTTTTAAATGCTAGGCATTGTCTTTTTTCTTAACGTACAAAACCAGTTCGTGATCGACCAGTTCAAAACCGTGCTCTTCAGCAATTTCATGCTGCAGGGCCTCGATGCGGTCGTTAACAAATTCGATAACCGCGCCGTTTTCGATATCAACCATATGGTCGTGGTGTTTGTCGTCAGCCAGTTCGTACACGGAATGGCCGTCATCAAAATTATGCCGTTCGACGATGCCCGCGGTTTCGAATTGCGTCAGAACCCGGTAGACAGTGGCCAGGCCAACGCCATCATCAGATTGCATCAGATTCTTATAAACGTCTTCGGCGCTCATATGGTGTGGCTCTGCCTGTTCGAGCACCTCCAGCACTTTGAGGCGAGGCAGGGTCACTTTGAGGCCTGCTTTTTTAAGGTCTGATCCGGGCAACCTGGGTATCCTTTTCTATCACACGATCTTGCAGTCCTGCGCAACCATGCTGTTTGCGCAGGGTTGCATTTGCTGGGTTTCAGCGGGTGCCACAATACTAAGGCAGGGTGCGCTTTACCAGTGGTGCAAACGGATCAAACTGTTCGGCGTTCTCGTAGGGAACGATCGATGCGAAGTTGTTCACCCTTGCGGGCTAATTCTGCACGATTCTCATCGTTGACTTCCATGTACTGTTGGCGCCATTGATCGGAGCCCCAGGATTCTGAGCTCAAGACTGTGTGGTTTGGTGCGCTCGTACTGTGCAGCAGGCTTAATCCCTGCCTGACAATGCGATCCTGCATATCCCGATCCCAGGGTTTGCCGCACGGATTACCCAGCGGAAAATCCACGTGCAGATAGCGCGGCACGCCGCAGTACTCGACGATATCCTGGGCTGAGCCAATGATGACGGTGGGTATGCCGCTGGCTTCAAGAAAGCGTGCAATCAGACTCACGGTCTGATGGCAAACGGGTCACAAAGGCACCAGCAGGGCGACGTCTGCGCCATCTTCCCGCAAACGCTGCAACAGGTCTGGTGCGTCATTCTCCAGGGTTGATCGCTGACTGTATTCAGTGGGTGCACAGTGCAGGCGCTTACACAATTCACCAATGTAACCTTCGGTCTGCAGGCTCTGCAGGGTTTGCAGAGGGCAGTAGCTGTTCAGATCGTCGGTATGTGTAGCCTGTTTGTCCCAG